AATAGTTCTACTTTGGAGCATTTGTAATTATGTTAAGTAAAAGTGTTTATGCTGGTTGGGCAATATCTTTAACATTAACTGTTGTTACCTTGGCATATCTATTATATTTCTTAATTAAAGAATACAGAACATATAGAAACATCAAAGTAAACTAAGTGAGACCAGTTGTGGAATAATGAATTCTAAATTGAAGTTAGAGATCTTATTATTATTAATTATGAAAATCTTATTTTCAATATTTATAAATTATTCAAGAAGAAAGATTACTTTTTATTAAATACTTTCTTTATTAATTATAAATACTCATTCCAATAATTTAGGAGATTTTCTAGGTTTAGCATTTTTACCTACTTATTGAACTAGTATTATTTTGCTTTTTTGTTAGGTATTGAAATCTAAAATGATAATTTTATAATAATATTTTTATAATTATATGTATTTTTACCTTTTTCACTTTGATTCTAAAATTGAAATCAAAACCTATTTCAATTAATTATCTATTCATAATCATTAAACTAAATTCTTTCTACCAATAAACAAAATCATTAAAAATAACCAATGTTACTTAATTAATAACTTCAGGCCTCTTTTGCTTCTTAAGTATTCCTCGTTATTGTTTCTTCTTTATTTAAAATAGCAATTCTCAGAGTACTAAAGATAATTATTTTATCTTTGAATATTTGCATTATAAATATATGTTCCTACATTAGGTAACGCATATATGTTTCTGGATATCCTTAATCTTTAAAAAAAAATAGAAATATTTCTAATAACAATATTCAGTTATAAGAGGAAGTATTTTAGATTTTAATGTATTTCAAAATAAAATTCATATAAGGTCCTTCAGATTGTAAAGCTTATAAAAAATCATCTTTATATTCTAATAAGAAATGAAATCCATTTTTAATAACATCTCTAATTTCATTTCCTCTTAATTTTAAAGAATAGCTAAATAATTTATTTAAGCTTTTAAAAATATCATCAAAAATATCTATAATTTTATATTAGGCTTGAGTATTATAATTTGATATTATTTCAAGTGTAGATTATTTTAATATAGCAGAGTCAGCTAATTTTAATTCATAATTGATATCTTCTGCTTCAGCAATTCCAAATATTGTTACATCATAAATCCTAACCATATCTTAAATAATTTTAAAGGTTCCAATTTATTTAGCCATTTTTTCATCAACTAAAATATAACTATTACAAAAATAACCGTTAGACCATAATTAAGAGTGATCAATAATATACTCATTTTTTATTTTAAATACTCCATATCCACATTCTAGTAATTCAAATGAGTTAGATTAAAAATCCATTATTTCTCTCATTTATATTGAACAAAATAAAATTTAATTTCTATGTTAAAATTGCATCTTCAAATATTATTTTTAATTATTTTTTTTTATTAATATATATTCTTATGTGTTAAAACCTTCTTCTATGAGAATAAAAAATATTAAATTGTAATATAAATAAGTGTAATGCCATTCAATAGATGAATTGAAATAAGGATATTTATCTATAGTAACAAAATTCCTCCTCCAATCTACAGAAGATCTAAAAGATAGCAAAATTCTTTAGCATGAAATGGGAAAAAATGAATCACATAAACTGGATTAATAAATTTAGGTATCTTTTCTTATTTAATATTCATTTAAAGTAAGGATTAGTATTAAATTTTATTTGATAATTCAGCTCCTGATTAATATAATTTATTTATAATTTATTAATATATCTAAATCCCATTATAGTTTGTTAGGAACAGCACTTATAGGCATTTCTGTACAATCATAAGCAAATGGTAAAAGAACATTTTAACTTTAAAGTCCTTGCAATGAAATAACATTTAGTAAAAAAAAGTAGTTATATTTCTTTTTGATAAATAAGGGAATAAAAAAGTTAGGACCGTTTTCTTTCTCTCATGTATTATGTAGATTTGAATAGAAAAATTATTTTTCTGCTCATTTTTCTTAGATTATTATTCAATAGATCTCAAAATACACAATCTTAAAAACCTTTGTTCTTAATCCATAAATGAAAATGTAGTTTTTAAATAGAAATATCTAGCTTTTTAGATTGCAAAAAGCATTTGAAATATAAATAATTTAAGTATAAGAATTCTTTTATTATATTAAATTCTTTCATTATATTGAGCAATCATAATTCTAAGGAATTCTAATATCTCCAGTAACTTTATTTTCTTAGACAATTGATTCTAAAGAAGGGTTTCTTCTTTCAACAACAAGCTCAATTTCATTAGATTTAATAACATTATTAAGTATTTTTCCATGACTTTTATCACGTATGAATAATCCAATTCCATCATTATCATTAATATTATTTTCAGTAATATCAGGTCTACTATCCTTTAATATCATAATCCCATTGCTTTTATTTTTTTATATTAAATTTCCACTTATTATTGGTACTGCTGTAATACATACTATTCCATCATTCTAAATAAAGAAATAACTAATTACATTTTCAGCAATTGTATTTCTAAATATCCAACATCTTCCACATTCAATCAAGAAAATACCTTCGCATCTTCCTCCTAGAATCTTATTTTCAACTATAAATGTATCTACAGAGTTGGCACCACCTAAAGCAACATTAGCTTTAATATTATCAGTAATTTCATTTTTTTCAATAACAGCAGATGATGTTTCAACTAACAACACCCCTTAACCTAGATTTTTAGATATTTTATTTTTATGAATTGAAATACGAGCTTCAGTATCTGCTTTAATTCCTGCTTTTTTATTATATCCTATAAATGTATTAGATTCAATTCTTGTATAGTTATTTTAACCAGTACAATGAATTCCATTTTCCTTATTACCTGATATAGTTTAATTTGATTTAATCTTTCCATCACATCTTAATTATTCAAATACTTTAGTTAATATTCCATCAGTAAAATTCTTATCAATTTTATTATTAAATATTTAAGGATCAGCAGATAACACTTCAATTCCTATAACATTTGTTTTAATTTCATTTCCAAATATCTTTGCTCTATTTCCTATACCTACTTTAATTCCAGGTCCTTCATTATTTTCAATTCTACATTATTCTATTTATGGAATTGCATCTGCACCTACAACATGTATTCCCACTTTTTTATTTTATATTATTTTGCTATTCATTACTCTAATATTTTTATTAGTAGGAGCTTATTATATTAATATACCACCATATGTATGATTGTGAACTTTACTATCTTTAATAATCAAATCACCTAATTTTACTAAAATTCCAATTGTTTTAGCATCCTAATTCTTTGATGAGGTTCCTTTAATTTCACATCTAATAAATAATGCTTCAGCTCCTTAATTAACTGCTATACCAGGTAATATACCTTTAAAAGACTTTACAATGAAACTTAAATTCGAATTTTAAAATTTACTTTAATGCAATCAAACAATCTTCCATAAATAATTTGCCTCCATTTAATAATACAACGCAATTCATATTTGTTTCTATTGGTACTTTACTAACAAATTCTTCATCTGGATTCTATTCTAATCCACCACCTCCATCTTCATGATTTCCAAATAAATGTTTAGCCATTTCTTAACCTTCAATTAATTTTTCCAATTCTTCAACTTCTTCACTTGTTCCACTATGAGACATTTTTAATCCTATTAAAGTGCAACGTTCATCTTTTTTTAAATCTATTAAGATTGTTGGTTACGATGAAACAACTATTATTATGTCTCCAACCTTCTCTTTAGGTTCCAGACGTAATCCAGCTTTATTTATCACTATATTAGATGAATAAAGTCCTGGAGCTATTTTTATTATTGTATTTGGTTCAGCTTTATCTATAGCCTCTTAAATTGTTTTATAGGGACCACTTTCTGAATCAACAATTAATTATTGCTTTAAGACACCTTTAATTCCATTATCTTAATGGCTCATTACAAGTATTAATTATATATTAAATAATCTCAATTTTCAATTTTTCTTTATTCTTCATTAACATCAAATACTTAAGAAAAAAATTCAATTTATTAATCCTAAATAGATATTAATATAATCTATTCTTTATATTTCTGTTTAATTAACTTTTATTAATATAATTTAATTATGATCAGAAAATTATTTAGAACACCGATATTTAGAAACCTTAAATTCTATAGACCAGCTCTTTATATGTTTAGTCAATAAAATTAAGATCCTAAATTTTCAGATGAAATTATGAATAAGTTAAAAAATTAGGCTTAATAATTTTATGATAATATAGTAGTTGATAATAATTTACAACATGTAGATGTTAAGGATGTAGATCATTTTAATTAACTTATTTAAGAAAGCAATTAAAAAATTATAATAGTATATTGTTATGCTTAATGGTCATTAGAATGCAAAGATTTTAAATAAGTGTTGATCTAAAATATGGAAAAATATTCAGATATTTCAACAATCATAAATATAGATATTGATAAACATCCAAATTTAATTACTCAGTTATAAATAAATTCTGTTCCTTTTGCAGGTGTAGTGTATAATAATTAATTTGTTGATGGATATTTTAAAAATGGAAAGTTTGACCGATTTATGTCTGTTGTAGAATAAATATCTAGAATCTTAAGAGGTGAAAATATTGAAGAAATGATATTAGAATAAATGTCAGAATTGTTTTAAAGCAAAAATCATTAAGGATTATTGACTTTAACAACTGAAGCATTAGCAAGAGATAATATAAAAAAAGACCATCCAAAATATTTATTATTCAAAGGATTAGCATATGTATTAATGGAAGATTCTATTAAAATATAAGAAATTTTAGATTAATTTGATTAATAATTTAAAGATGATTTAACAGATATTAATACTAAATAATTATATTAATTAGTTTAAGACTAATTAACTTTGATTAAAGATTTATAATCTTTGACTCCTGAAATGAAAAGAATTTTAGAAAGAATAAATGAGAATCCTAAAGATAAAGATCTTTATTTTGATTTAGCTTTGGAATCATTAAATTTAAAGAATTATGAGTTGGCAATTAAGTCACTTTTAAATGTAAAAATCTATTTGATTTTAGATTGTTAAAATGGATAAGAATTGGTCTGACAAAAAGGCATAGAAGAAGCTACTAGAAATATTTTCATAATTAGGAAATTAACACAATTTAGTTATTGAGGGAAGAAAACAACTTGGAAAACTGATAAATTGATTTATTTGATTCTTCTAAATAATAATAATAACCTAATATCTTATAAAAAATAAAAGTTAAAATAATATTTATCGAGAAATATTCTTAAACAAATTTCAATTCCAAAAAACATCATTTTTCAACATTTATTAATTGAATTTGCAATAAATGTTTCATGAAGTTTGTTTTAATTTTTAAACAAACAAATGTCCTTCTTCCTTGAAATTAATTTCAGAATACTTCTATTAAAGGTTAGGTGGAGTTTTTATTTAAAACATCCCCTAGCCAATTAGGCTAGGGGATTCAACCTCAACAACCTTCTTTTTAAGCATCATCTATTCCTTTAACAGCAGTTACTTATACAAGTTCCTTTTTATTAAAAATAAAAATATACTTCTGAACAAGTTGGATGAATACCAACAGTTGAATCAAATTATTCTTTTGTTACTCCCATTTTGATTGCAACTGCATATCCTTAAGTCACTTCTCCAGCATGAGGTCCAAGATAATGAAATCCAATAACTCTACGATTATCATTTAAAACAATTAATTTAGCAAAACAACTTTCACCTGAATGCATTTCAAAATAATTCCATTCTAATGGTTTAAATATTGAATGATAAACAGTAACTTTATCTTCTCCAAATTTCTTAATAGCATCTTCTTCACTATATCCTATACAACCATATTCTAAAGGAGTAAATACAGTTGTAGCTACAAATTCATATGACATTAATTCAGTGCTATTATTATATAATCTATTAGCTAATAACTATCCACATTTAATTGCTGTAGGAGTCAACTCTGGTCTACCTTCAACACAATCACCTATTGCATATATATTAGCCACTGATGTTTTATCATCTGCAGAACATAATATTTTACCACTTTTATTCATCTTTACTCCTACTTTATCCAAATTTAGTTTTTATGTATCACTTACTCTACCTGTTGCAACTAAAACTGTATCAAATATTTCTTCTTATTTTTATCCATTAATAATCCAAGTCACTTTTCTCTTATTGTCTTCTGTTGCTTCTATCATATCTGGAACACTTCCTTTAATAAATCTAATTCCTTTCTCTTCCATATATAATCCAATCTTTTCTGCCATCTCTTAATCAAATCCTCTTAATAAAATGCTTCTCACCATTATAGCTACTTCATTTCCAATTCCATGTAAAAATCCACCACATTCTAATGCAACATAAGAAGCACCAATAACTAAAGTCTTTCCAGGATTCTCTTATAACCAAAATAAATCATCAGATGTTATAACTAAATTTTAAATATTAGGAATATTATCTGGGTATGATGGTCTACCTCCAACTGCTACTAATATTGTCTTTGCTCTAACTGTTTCAATTTATCCTTTGTTATCAGTTAACTTTGAATATTTTCATAGTTTTACCTTTATTGTATTTGCATCTATCAACTCTGCTAATTTATTGTAATATTTCACATCTTCTTTTAATAATTGATTTTTATATCCGAAATTCAATTTACGAATATGATTATTCACATTCTCAACCATTTTTTCCCAATTATGCTTTGAATCTACTTATGTATCTATCCATCTAAAAATCCTTAAAATTAAAATACCCTGCTTCAACTTAATCATGTCTTAATTCTCCTAAAGTAGCTGCAAAATGCATAAGTTTTTTTGGTATACAACCTACATTAACACAAGTTCCTCCTAATCCCCATTTTGTTCCTAAAGGTGAGGGTTTTACAAAATCGGCCAAAGCTACTTTTGCACCTAATTTTGCAGCTTATTTAGCACAAGCAAGACCACCAGATCCTCCTCCTATTACAAATAGATCGTACTCTTATTCGACGTCCATAAATTAATATTAAAATTGTGTTTTTATCTTATTTTCTATATAAATCTAAAATTTATGATATCATTGTATTTGATAATAAGTAAGTCATTTATTAATATATTATTTGTAAATTTATTAAATCCTTATTCCAAAAATAGTTAAGCAAAATATAATACCAATAATAATACTTTTAATATATATAAAAATCAGTTTTTATTTATTTCAATCTTAAAATAAATAAATACTCTTCTAAACATTCTAGATTTGCATTTTAATCCAAATCTAATTTGCAAACATTTAAAATCTTCAATTTTTTCTAACATTACCTTTTATTTATGAATTCTTTCTCCAAGAATTTTAAAGTTTTAAGTATACAACTTAACATTGATTAGAAAGTTCTCATTTAAATTTCTTAAAAATCAAATAAAAACTTTCCTAAAGTATACTAATATAATTCATATTTTTTTGATACAAGAAATTTATGTTTAACTAAATGAAATTTATTCTTGCTTCTTTACATTAGATAATATTTTTTCTTAATTTAAATAAATCTCAAGAATTTTATTCTTATTTAAAAATTTTTTCTTGAAATTATTGAAGTAATGTCATTTTTAACTATCCTAAATGGTTAAATTTAGATATTTAGTTATGTATATTATTGTAAAGAAGACAACTATGAATTAATTTCTGAATAATATGAGCTTAAAATTTATTCTTATCACCTTCGCTAATAGTTCTAAAAGATTCGGTTTAGCTAAAAATGGAAATAAATTTTCTTTAAGGCTATGTGTATTAGGAATAAAAAATTAGTAATTAGAATATCAAAAACTGATGGATTTAATATAGTTAAATATATACAAATAATCATTAAAGCTATTCTGATATGGAAGCACTCAACCTTTTTAAAATGAGAGGAGATCGAGCCATCTGTAAAGAGCATCGATTATTTGGTGTCCATGAAATATTATCTGATGTCTCAGTGTCAGAATCAAGAGATCTTTAGGAGAATACTAGTTTTTTTTTGGTGTCTTCATAATTCAATTGTTTCAATTTAGGATCAGTAAGTTGTTCAAGTTTTAACTATTCATATAAATATTTGAGAATTTTAGTCTCAATTTCCTTCATTTCTTGTAAACACAATTCATTATCTATCGTATCATTCATTATAATTAAAATATTAATAATTTTTTGTATTATTGATTTAAATTTAAAATATGAATTGTGACAAGTCTATTCTTAAAGAACTAATTTAAACAAATATTATTTTGATAGAGGAAGCAAAAGAATCCAATTTATAAAATTTTAACAATTCAAAGATGTGGATCAAAAAATCCTTTAATAATTTGTTTAATCTACTTCCAAAGGAAACTTTAGAGATGGATATAAATTAATTACTTACAGTCTCAGAATAAGAAGAATTGATTAAAGATCCTTAGTTATCAATAGAATTTTTTAAAAATAAGTTTTAAAGAGAGATAGATGATTAAGATTGGGAAGATGAAGTGGAAACACACTTGACCCCACCAAAAAAGTAAATTGAATATTTCATAAACATAAAGATAAATACCATAAACTCGCACTTTATAATCCAGTAATATGGGATTTAGAAAGAAGCCTGCTACAATAGTATAATCATCTTAAAAAAAACTTCTTTCTAGCGCTATTCATAGTAAATACAAAAGAAAATTAATTTGATTTTCAATAAAATGATAACTTAATTAATTTATAAATATTAATATTCATTAGTAATATAGAATCATTTATCTTATAAAATTTTTTAATCAAAGTATAATGTATAGTTGAATTTTTAATAAGATAATATAATATATTCAATATTCATCATCTTCCTTATCATTATCTCAAATTTTATCTCTATTTTTGATTTTCTCTAATTCTTTTTTTTAAATTCTTATAAAAGAAGTTTAAGTTCTTCAGCTGAAAGGATTTCATAAGGATATCCTTAATTAATAACTCTAATTTATCTATCAAATTATATTTCTACTTCTTTTGTTCCTTTGTTACAATTCTATTTATTTTTTTTTTCTTTGAATTCTACCAATCTTTAAAATTCTTATCTAACAAAACCAAAAACTAAAATTAATACTAATCTAAATTTCAACATTACCAGAGAGTAAATCTAAATAAAATACCATTAAATTTATCTAATAGATATAATTTATAATTAGCTGAACTTTCAGATTACTCATTCTTTTAAATAATGATGGGACAATTATTGAGTTTAGCAATTTCTTCAAGAGTACTTGTATCTGCTAATTTTTTCATTTTTTCATAGAATATTAAATTCTTATCTCTTCTGGTTCTGTATATATCAATTAAGTTTTTTAAGATTCAAATTATTTAGGCTAAATATAATCAATTAATTAGATTCATTTAATATAAAGTATTTGTTAGAGATTATTTAATTTTTCTCTTATAAAATCAATTATATTAGCTTATAATTTTGAAATTTCAGCATTTATTTGATAAAATCATATCCTTATTAGTAATAATTATTATATATTCCCTCTTAAAACTACTGTTAGTAATTCTTATTTACTCATTATTATTGCTATATTATTTTTATCCATTTCAGTAAACTTAAAGAAAGATTTTTACCATTAATATACATCATTGAATTAATCAAAAATATTTAATGTTTTTTTCTTTATTTTTAAAGCCACATTTATTCCAAGTACAGTTTTTCCTGCTCCACATGGTAAAATAATTATTCCTATATAGGCTTTATCATTTTAAAATATTTTATTAAAAGCTCTATTGACAATAAAATTAATAAATAGCCTTTTATACTAAATTACTCATTTAGATGCCTATCATATATCTCATAATCTTCTATGATTGTAAGTTTCTTCTACTATCGAAATTTCCAATGCTTTAATTCTTCAAATAATTTCTTTTCTATATCAATATAATAAGAGTCTTTTTCTAAATTAAAAATGACCTATTCAAATATTAAATATTCTTCTCAATAATCAGCAATATCTTTAGGAATTCTCTCATTCTTAGCTAATTTATTTATTTCATTTTTGATCCTATCTTAATTTCATCCAAGTGTCATTGCTGTATATAAAGAATAAAATGCTATTATGAAAGTTTAAATATATGTTGTTTTTGAAGAAAGTTCTTTCTATTAAATTAAAGTTTCTTTCACTTCAACAGCATATTTATCAAAATTTTCCAATATTATTTCATATTTTTTATTGTGTACCATTATATTTATTTGATCTAAATTATTAATCAATAAATGGTTTATCTATTCTCATTTTTAAAATAGACCTTATATAATGATCACCTTAAAATTTTTCATCCAATTAATTATTATTTAATTCGATTTATTATCTAAAAATTCTAATTTATGATTTAGAAAATACAAAGTTTTGTTTATTTCAAAAAACTTAATTTAAATTAATTATTAAAAATAAAATTTTGTTTTTTTTTTCATTTATTGTTTTACAACTATAACTATTTATTTATTGAAGTAATGTATATCATAAAATATGATTTAATACCTTACTTTTAATGATTTTGTTTAAAAGTAAACCTTTTGATCAAAAATTTTTTTTATTTTGAGTATTCTAATGATTTAAGATTAATTTTCTCTCAAATCCTAAAAAGCTCAATTATATTTAAGTGTTATAGAACTTTTCAAACTATTATAAAGAAGGTATAAATACATTCTAATAAGAAATAAAAGATTATGATTCTCAATATATTATTTAAATTAAATAATTTATATAAGCATGGATAACGATACATCAACATGCTCTATTAGAAGCAGTAGTGTTAAAGTCTAAAAAATCTTTGATTAATATATGGCTTAAATTGCTCCTTTACCAAACCTTAATTCTAGTAATAAAGAAAATTCTTTCTCAATCTCAAATGATTAACGTTCTAATTATCATACAAGAATTTAAACACCTGATAAAACTACTTAAAGAAGCAATTCACAAATATAAGCTTTACAAGCTTTGTAAAAAAAAAATATGGAACTAAAAACAGAGAATGAGAGTTTGAAAGAGCAGTTAAAAAATTATTAAAATTAACAAAGTACTATAAATGAAATTAATTCAATTTACTAAAACCTATAATAGCAATATGTAGTGTTAGATTTAGATCATAAATAATTATTGCAATCCTATGAGTTATAATTAACTTAGTTAAAATAAGAAAAGGATTAATATATTGATGAAATTAATCGATAATATAGATGTTAATTAGAAGAAATGAAATAATAAATGCAATTTTAAAATGAGCGATATAAAAATATAGATGTATGTAGAAATGATTAGGATACTCTACTTTAGAATGCTCTTGAAGAATTGAGAAAAGAGAGGCAAATGTTAAATAAATTAAAATTAGATTAGCGATTATAAATAGAAGATACTGAATAAAAATTTGAAAAATAATTACTGTATTAATAAAAACTATATCAAGAAATGAAAAATTAAAATATGATATTGACCAAAGAAAAGTAAGATTAATAGGAATAAATTAAGGAATTAGAAAAAACTTATAAGGAACTTGTATATCATTAAAAATAAGAAATTTAAAAATTATAAAAGCAATATATTGATATTAAGAGTTTCTTCGAATCCTAAATGCAATAAGTATAAGAAGAAGTTTCATGTGCAATGCAAGAACTAAGAAATAAAAACTGTACTTATCATCAATAATTGTAAGAATAAGAATAAATTATAGAAGATTTAGAAGATTTAAATAAATAATTAAAATAATAACTCCTTTTTAAAGACTAAGAATTATTAAATTTAAAATCTCAATTAGAATAATTGTAAATTCAGCACGAATAGTTAAAATAAATGAATGACGAACTTATACATTAATTTAACCTTTAAATATAAGATTTATCGTAAAAGTTAGAAGTTGAAAGATAAAATTATGAAGAAGAATCAGATTTAAATGAAGATGACAAAAAAGAAATTTATAATGCTTTACATAATGATAAGACAATATAATTAACTACATCACATTCATAAAATGATTTATTATCTTAATAGCAACCTTAAACTTCAACAAGAGATATTGAATATAAATTGTTACTTCAATAAATAATTGATGTAGAAAAAGAAGCTTTTAGATTAAATAATAATTATTAAACATTATTCTAATAGTTTTCCAAAAACATTCAATTATCTGAATAATAGAAACAAAACATTAAGTAAGAAATGACTGATTTAATGTAATAGATTAGAATAAATAATTCAAAATTATATGAACTTAAAGCTAAAGAATTCACTTACTTAACTTGATAATTAAATTATATTTTATAATTATTTATGCACATCAAAATTAATCTAACAAAAAAATTATAAATTCTATATTTCTAGCATAAATATTTTCACATTGAATCATAAAATATTTATATATTAGTATTTTTAATATAATATCTCGATTAATGTTTTATAGTTTAATCTTTATCTATATAGAAAATAATTTAAAAAGAAAACTTATCAAAGAAAGACTTAAATAAATGTAATATAATATACACTTAATCTTTATAATTCATTCTCTTGACTTCTTCTAAGCTTTATTTATTGATAAGTATTTATTTTTTACAATATTTTTAAATTTCTTTTCCTCGTAAGTTTTATTAGATATTCTACCTCTAGCATTAATAAACCAGATTTAAATCTAATTCTTAAATATTTAGTTACCTATTTGCATGTAAGATTGCATTTCTCAGCTAATTAAATTGTTTATTCTTTTGTAGGATAAGGGTATGAAAAATGTTTATATAACCAGCCTTTAAGAATGAGATTGGACTTTTTGGTAAACTTATGACCTTTTTTCTTGTCTTATTGATTTTGATCTTTGAGAATTTATCTTTACTAATAGAGCTTAACTTCATTCTCTAGAACCTATTGCATATAATCAAAGTGCTATTAAAGAGATTTAATAGTATGACATTCCAATTAATCATTATTTAGTTAACGTAAGTAAGTTAAGAAACCTTAAAAATGAGAAATATATGTAGCTGTCTAGCTTTGAGTGGCTTATTCTTCTATTTAAGATGATTGGTTATGTTCTTCACTCAGATTATGAGAGTTGATCCATTTATGAAATAGGGCTTCAAGTTCATTCACTTGATTCATAACATAGAACTTGCGTTATTCAGCATGAATTTTTAATGATTGAGACATTTGATTGAGAAAATTGAGATATTTATTTAAATTAGATACATTCATTCATTCATAAGCCTAAAAACATAGAAATCAAAACAAATTATAATTTTTTATAATAAAAGCAATTTATTCTTAATTATAGAAATTCAATCATACATTTTATATAATTCTTATATTTCAAAGTTTCCATTACATCCTCAAGTCATTAAACTCTATTAATAAAAAAAAAATAAAAGAATGATCATGTATAAAAAATAAATATAATTTGAGAGAGGTTATTCAAAACTCATTAAATTAATATAGTTTTTAAGGTATATAAAGAAATTTAATTATTTTTTTATGAAGGAATATGAATTATAATAACAAATATTAATTTAATATTATTTTATTCTCTTCATATTTTCAGTAAAGACAAAAGAATGAAAATTGCCTTATTAAAATTTTAGAACATTATTCTATATGATTGAACACATTATTTCTTTAGTAAACTAATAAAAATCTCAATAAAGTATTTTCTTATGATAAATTAAATAATTATATTTAAACATATGATAAGAGCTAAAACAGAATAGAGTANTTACAATATTTTTAAATTTCTTTTCCTCGTAAGTTTTATTAGATATTCTACCTCTAGCATTAATAAACCAGATTTAAATCTAATTCTTAAATATTTAGTTACCTATTTGCATGTAAGATTGCATTTCTCAGCTAATTAAATTGTTTATTCTTTTGTAGGATAAGGGTATGAAAAATGTTTATATAACCAGCCTTTAAGAATGAGATTGGACTTTTTGGTAAACTTATGACCTTTTTTCTTGTCTTATTGATTTTGATCTTTGAGAATTTATCTTTACTAATAGAGCTTAACTTCATTCTCTAGAACCTATTGCATATAATCAAAGTGCTATTAAAGAGATTTAATAGTATGACATTCCAATTAATCATTATTTAGTTAACGTAAGTAAGTTAAGAAACCTTAAAAATGAGAAATATATGTAGCTGTCTAGCTTTGAGTGGCTTATTCTTCTATTTAAGATGATTGGTTATGTTCTTCACTCAGATTATGAGAGTTGATCCATTTATGAAATAGGGCTTCAAGTTCATTCACTTGATTCATAACATAGAACTTGCGTTATTCAGCATGAATTTTTAATGATTGAGACATTTGATTGAGAAAATTGAGATATTTATTTAAATTAGATACATTCATTCATTCATAAGCCTAAAAACATAGAAATCAAAACAAATTATAATTTTTTATAATAAAAGCAATTTATTCTTAATTATAGAAATTCAATCATACATTTTATATAATTCTTATATTTCAAAGTTTCCATTACATCCTCAAGTCATTAAACTCTATTAATAAAAAAAAAATAAAAGAATGATCATGTATAAAAAATAAATATAATTTGAGAGAGGTTATTCAAAACTCATTAAATTAATATAGTTTTTAAGGTATATAAAGAAATTTAATTATTTTTTTATGAAGGAATATGAATTATAATAACAAATATTAATTTAATATTATTTTATTCTCTTCATATTTTCAGTAAAGACAAAAGAATGAAAATTGCCTTATTAAAATTTTAGAACATTATTCTATATGATTGAACACATTATTTCTTTAGTAAACTAATAAAAATCTCAATAAAGTATTTTCTTATGATAAATTAAATAATTATATTTAAACATATGATAAGAGCTAAAACAGAATAGAGTACATTAATAGAGCTTATCAAAAAAAAGAACCATTAAATATTAAACTTCATTAGAAACCTAAAAATCAAAAAATAACCTAAATTGGATATTTTAATTCTCTAAATGTTTCCAATAACAAAGTTAAATTAAGTATCTTAATGTGAGATATTTTAATACCAAATCAAACTCATGATATAAACTATTAATATAAAATAAAATAGATTAAATAGATGGGGATAAAAACCTATTCGAATTAATAATAAGACTTCTAGATTTTTTGAAATCTAAGAAAACAAAATATTTAAAAAGTAATTCTACACTAATCCATCTTAAGTTTATGAGAATATCAATTAAAGAAATAACATATCTAATTAAAGAATTTATTTGAAAATTTAAAAAAGAACTCAAAAATATAATAATAAACATTCTCATAATAATAAATAATTCATGATTTAATTGTTTTACCTTAAGTTATAAATGCAGAACTATCTAATCTGTTAGATAATATTAAAAAATAGTAAATTTATCATATTGAGGGAGGGATACTTGTATTTATAATCTTAGTTAAAGATACAAATGTTTGGTAGTAGAACTGTGAAAAAATTAATAAGCTCAGTTAAACCATGGGTTAATTAATTATAATAAAATAAATAATCAAAATTTAAGCGAATTAGTTTAGAAATGATTTAATCGCTAAATCATATACATAAATTAAAATTAACACTATAAGAATTTTCTAAAAGAGATGCATTTCCAAAAGCGCCTTTCAAAAGTAATAGAGGTGAAAAATTCTTTAGTTTATGTAAAATGACGAAGGGAGATTAAGTATCTTGGTTTCTAGAAAAGGAAAAATATCTTGTATGCTAATATGATCCTTCTGTTAAGACAGCACTACATAGGTGTTGCGTAAGAAATTGTAGAGCTGCAATTTTTAATACTTTTTAAAAAAGATGTAAATCCAGATGCATAAGATATGATAGGTATCATAAGGCAGATTCTTGGAATAAAGGAATTTTAGATTATAATGAAGCAGTAACTAATAATATTGAAGGAAAAATCATATTATAGTAGGGAAGAAGTGAATTTTATTGAAATGAATTGATAGATCCATATCCTATTGAGAATGAGTTCTCCTGCAGAAAGATAATTTATTTGGCAATAAAAATAATTTATAGTAACAAGAAATTAAATGTAAATTTTAGTAAAGTCGATATTATTAGTAATAAATTATATAAGAAAGAAATATTTAGTATTTTCTTAATTTAATTCTATAGATAAATAATAAATAATATAGAATATATAGATTAAGATGAATATAAGGAAGACTAGAAAAAATGTTGTCAAAAAAGAGCAGAAAAAAGAGAAATATTTGAATGATATGTAGATGTTCATTTACCTTAGTTGATCCAATATTACTCATATTTTTCATATTTCTCAGTGTTTCTTTTTAATATGTCTTCCAGAGGTCCAAGCATTCTTTTAAAACTATGTCTATCTAAATATATCAATTTGACTTATGTCTAAGAAACTTAATTAAAATAAATTTACTTGAGCAACAATATTGGCTTATCTTGGAATGTCTTTAAGTAAGGCTAATTCTCCAAAATAATCACCTGCCTTATATTAAAAGACTTTGACTGGTTCTTATCCTTGATAAAGTGTTTTAGTGGCAATTAATTCTCCTTCTTCAATCATGTAAAAAATATCTCCTTATTCTCCTTCTCTAATAATATATTCTCCTTATTAGAATGAAGCACTTTTAATTGCATCTGCAACATGAGATCTTTCATATGGATCCATCATTGAAAGTAAATCAATAGATTTAAGTACATTTACATATTTTTCTCTCTTTCTAGAAATACGATAACGAAATATATACTTCATTGCTGCATCTTTAACAATATGATTAAATGTTTATCTATCTAATGCAAACAAAATAGAATTAGTTTTAGATTGAATTGAGGCAGCTCGTGGAGCATTATACAATAAGGCTAACTCTCCAAACGATTCTCCAGGATAATAAACTTTTAAAAATTTGTTTTCACCATCTTTTGTAAATCTCTTAAAACAATTTAACTCTCCTTAATCAACAACATATAAATTATCACCATTATCTCCTTATTAAATGACCCAATCCTCTGCACTAAAATTGTAAAATAAAGCATACTTGTAATTACGTTCTTCCATTGCATCAATAACAATGTCTTTTTCTTTTTAATCAAGTGATGCAAACATAAATGATTATCCCAATCTTTTACCTATTTTTTCCTTCTATTATTGAGTCTTTACAATCACTCTAGGTTAAAATGACTGTTATTTTATTAATAAATATACACCTCTTTTTTATTGTATTATCCATATGCTTCAGCTGAAATAGAAGCTCTTTATTTTCTAGCAGCAGCAGGTCTTTTAGGTAATTCAATTACTTCCTCATCAGAGGATGATGACTTTGCATTTAATTTCTATCTTTATTTTACTATATCCCTTCCTTTTTTATCTAGCCATGCTATTGACCAATCAACCTAATATTTTTATCTATTCTTACCACATTCTTAGGCTATTAGGCTAGAATATCTTCCATCAATTTTTAAAGAAGAAACACCACGTTTTCTTGTGCATAATGGCGTAGTTTTTCTGCCTATTAATTCATTTAATGGATAATTAATTAGCTAATGGTGTATTTAAGTTTCAATCATTAGTTACTAGATAGTTTAGATCTTCTAAAGATATTATCAATAATATATATCAAATCAGGTTTGATATAGATTGTCATTGAAAAAAGTAAATAACAATTAAAACCTCCCAGAAAAAACAATAATTATTAAGTATCTAGAACCACTATTAGGCAATATTCTTTCATATTAGATTTAAAACTAATCTATAATACATACTCAAAGTATCCTAATCTAATACTTCATTAAACTTTGAAGTTATTCATAATAAAGAAGAAGAATCTCATGTTGTTAATTAAACTAAAAAGTTACTGCATGATATATTTATTTAGAACATCTTTTTTCCTTATTAATCTATATTAAAACAAACTTCCAAATACAAAAATACAGAAGCAAACAAAAAATTAATAAAAGAAATTCACTTTTTACTTAGCTTATGTCAAAATTAAGAATTAACTAATAATAGTATCATTAAATTTGGAAAAGTATAAAATAGATAATAAATCTATGAAGATATAAATTGCAAAAGAAATTACCACATTTCCCAAAAGTAGAAAAAATGAAAAGAAAATAAACTGATTTTTTTATTTCAAAAAGTAACACATTTTGTCTTGAAAAAGAAACATCCTAAAAAATAGAGAGATTTAAGATGGAGATTTTTGGATACAAAGAGATTAACCTAAAACTAATAAAAAAATAAGAATTAGAAATGTTGAAGAAAAAAAAGACCTTAAGCAAAAGTATACATGCATAATGATTTATATATATATTTAATTTTTAACGAATGCTAAACTGCCAACATAAACCATATCAAAACATATGCAAATTATGTGGAATAGCAATTTATCAAGATGGATCTGTTGCCTATAAACATATTTCATTTAAGAGTCATCATCAAGCTAAAAATCTTTTCGAAGATCTAAGCAACATCAATACAGATTATGAAAGACGATAAGAACTTATTGATTTCGTTTATCAAACTAAACAAAGCTTATAATTAACAGATCAAACTTTTTATTTAACTATTCATTATTTAGATAGATGTCAACACTTACTTTAATTTCATAATCCTAAATTGATATCATTACTTTGTTTGATGGTCAGTTCTAAAATGATTGAAGATGATTCACACATTCCAGGAATGAGTAAATTATCTAAAGCAAGTGATTTAAACTTAAATAAAAATGAATACAAATAAGCAGAATGTTTAGTTTTAAAAACATTAAATTGGTAATTTATTATTTTTATTCAAAGGAAACTTAAAGTGAATACCTTATATGAATAAGTGTAAAGTCTCTTATGCACAGGAGTTGTTTACTCTACTGACTCTAATGATGGAATCATGGATAACAATATGATTAATTTTGTTTGTTGTAAGATGCTTAAAGACCATACCAAAATTGTTAATTAGGTTAACAAAATACCCTGTTTGATGCAAGTTAATACTAAAATTTTAGCAATCGCTATTATTTTATATATGAGAAAATAATGTCGTTTGCATCCTCTGTAGTAATTTTTTGGTTATGTTCACTAGTCCACATTAATTATAAGTATTAGTTGAAGAAAATTAAAATCAATTATTAATTGATACTTACGGTCAGCTCAATAATCTATTATAAAATAATTCTTTAAGCAATACTAAAAGTGTTTCAAGAGCTTTATCTCCTGTTACACTTTCTTCATGTAAATCTATGCCTCCAGTTACTAGAATTCAATAAAATCAACGAATGCCATTAAATATTATAACAAATCATCAAACTTGCATCAAACCTAAACTCATTAGATCAAAACATTAAGAATAAGATTTCAATCCATTAAGGGTTAAACACAAAAATTGTTGATTTTTTTCATTGTTACTATATAAAAATTAATAAGTTATAATTTTCATTTTTTTTATTCATAAATTCTATTTCTTAATGCATAATATTTGTCCTATAAAATTTATAAACAGTTTTCTTTTGAATGTTCATCAAATTATCTGTCAGTTTGTATTTTGCTTGAATTCGAAATATGATCAGTTCTAGCTTAATGTCTTTTTGTGTTCTCAACAGATTATTAACCATATCCAGGATTTCCTTCTACACATTATTATTTAACTAATTTTTTTAATTGATTTATTGTAGTTGTTTAATTTGATTGTGGTGATTGGTTTCCAACAGCTTATGAATCATCTGTACCTCTTTAAATTGAATTAAAACTATTTCTTTGATTACTTAACGTAGCAGAATTTTATAAATATTGAGAATTTTAAAAGGATCTCTATTAATTTATTTTACTCTGTTATTCTATATGATCTTTTAATTCCTTTTAAAATTCAACAGCATAATCTTACAATTCTATAACTCTTTAATTTAAATTCTAGATTTCCATTTATAAATTTGTATTCTCAATCTATATTTATTAATTATCCTTGATAAGTAAAGCATTTCTTTCCTATAATTATATGTTATCCTATTGTAAATCTTTCAATTCATATAAAACTTATTCATACTCCTTTTTCACAATGTCATTGTCTTATTCTAATCTTGCAATTTATTATTCTAATTAATCACACTCTTGCATTAAATCCTTATATTGTAGCAAAGTTTAATTCGTATTTTCTTTTCCCTCCTATGCACTCTATTTTAATCCATATGCAATATTTTCAAGCTAACTAATAATTAGAATTTTTTCCTATAATTGTTATTCTTATTATTTTATCGTTTATTCTTTCTAATTTAAATCCTACTCCAATCTATTAATTTTTAATTTAATTTAATTCTAATTGTCATATATTACTTTTTTTTCTATTTTCAAAGTTCTGTGAGATTTTTCCAATATTTTATTTTCGTCTTAAACTTTTTGCAATTCCTGTTTTAACTAATTTTATTCATCTTATATCTTCTTGTCTTAATCTTCTTTTTCATATTAATTAAGTTACAATTATTTATATAATTATTAATTTTCGTTTTCCAATAGATGTAAATCTCTCACTAACTCTTAATATTAAAAGTTTACTCTCTGTTACTCTAGCTCGAATTATTTTTAAACTTCCTCATAATATTTAATTTTACTATGATACATAGCTTCAAATTGATTAAACTAATTTATAAAATTATTTTAATACTTTTTCAGATAATTTATAAAATTCATTTTAACTATTATCTAGCTATTATTAGCATCTCTTATTTTCCTTTGTTATACTTGAATATTATGTCTTAATTTAAGTATTAGTTTCTATTAGTTCTTTTATCTCCTTCTAATAGTTTAAAATTTCATTCTTTAATGTCAGTACTTATCCTTTGTATGATTCGCTCTCAATTTTATATTTAATTAAGGAATCAACTTAATCCTTCAATAGATTAATCTATTATGTTTATGATGATTATTAAGCATTTGTAATTGTTTCTAATTTCAATCTAGATGTTTCTAATTCATATTATAATGTAGTATTCTGTACTTCTAAATATGATGCTTTTTCAACCAATTCTAAATTCTATATTTCATAAATGCAGTACTTTTTATTAATATTCTTGAACTTGTTTCTCTAATTTCATTTTGTATAGTCTTAACTCCTCAACAATATGTTCGTTAGATTTTAAAGTTTCACTTATTTTTCTTTCGCTTATTCTTTCTATTTCTTGTTGTGTTCTAACAATCTTCTTTCTCTCTTATGTAGATCTATTTCTAGATGATAGGAAATCTTGAAAAAATAGCTTACTCATTATTTATTTTAAAATTCAAAAGTATTTTAATATATAATCATGATTATGACTTACAAACTGTTTCAGATCCCATCTCAATTATGATTGGTATCTAAAAAAAGTTTCTTTTCCTATTCAACCATCCTTAAATTATCATATTTTATAATTAAATTGCAAAATACAGTTTAAATATTCTCAATCATATCCTTTAATTGATTAGGTACAATTAGAATATTTCAGCTTCCAAAATTTAGGTTAACCAAATCATAAAAAGCATTCTCAAATCTGTTATTTTTATTTTTACGACGATAGAACTGTTTTGTTATTCTCAAAAAAATTTGACCTCTAATAATCTATGATAAAAAATTATCTTTTCTTATCCTGTTGAGCTTTATTTATATTCTGAATACAGTCTAATATTTATTATTGAATAATTTTACTAATTAAATGAATACAACTATTCATAATTGCAACTGAAAAAATTATATGATTCAAAATTTCTAATGCCTTTAAAGTATTCATCCAATCAACATAATGTTTGAAAATTAATTCAAAATTTAATCTTTTACTTTAAAAAATTCATTTTCCAAATACGCTTTACTGATTTTTTATATTACTTTTTAATTATTCATTAAATTCCTTTAGAAAAATAAGACATTAATTTTGCATTTTGTAAACGTCATTGATATAATCATGATCTAGTTATTCTCTTTCATAATATTCTCAATCATTTTTAATGATTCTATCACAATGTTTTTATCATGATGTAAGTACCCTGAATAGAGTATTAAATAATAGCAGTAAATTTTTATAAAACCTTTAAAAAGCTAAAAATTTGCTATAAATTTCATGTGCTAACCACTTTTAATAAAAATAAAAATTGTTATCCTTCACTAAATTTTTAGGGGTTAATGTAATATAAATTTCTATGAGCTAAAACCTATATATTATAAGTTGAAAGTTATACTTTTTGAGAATCTAACATAATTGCCTTTGCTTTTTTGAATCCGGAAATATTCTAAATGTATATTTCTTGAATACACATTTAATTTTATTATAAAATTATTATTATTATCATGAAATTTATATAATGTAATTAATATTCCTTAAACTTGATTCTTGATACTTTTATAAAGTATTAAACTAAGTATGTAGATATTCTGATTATATGTAGAATATTAACAAATCTAATTTTTTGGTATATTGAAATAAATCAAAAAATTTTTGATTTCTCGTTGAATATTCATTTTTTCTCNCAGTTTAAATATTCTCAATCATATCCTTTAATTGATTAGGTACAATTAGAATATTTCAGCTTCCAAAATTTAGGTTAACCAAATCATAAAAAGCATTCTCAAATCTGTTATTTTTATTTTTACGACGATAGAACTGTTTTGTTATTCTCAAAAAAATTTGACCTCTAATAATCTATGATAAAAAATTATCTTTTCTTATCCTGTTGAGCTTTATTTATATTCTGAATACAGTCTAATATTTATTATTGAATAATTTTACTAATTAAATGAATACAACTATTCATAATTGCAACTGAAAAAATTATATGATTCAAAATTTCTAATGCCTTTAAAGTATTCATCCAATCAACATAATGTTTGAAAATTAATTCAAAATTTAATCTTTTACTTTAAAAAATTCATTTTCCAAATACGCTTTACTGATTTTTTATATTACTTTTTAATTATTCATTAAATTCCTTTAGAAAAATAAGACATTAATTTTGCATTTTGTAAACGTCATTGATATAATCATGATCTAGTTATTCTCTTTCATAATATTCTCAATCATTTTTAATGATTCTATCACAATGTTTTTATCATGATGTAAGTACCCTGAATAGAGTATTAAATAATAGCAGTAAATTTTTATAAAACCTTTAAAAAGCTAAAAATTTGCTATAAATTTCATGTGCTAACCACTTTTAATAAAAATAAAAATTGTTATCCTTCACTAAATTTTTAGGGGTTAATGTAATATAAATTTCTATGAGCTAAAACCTATATATTATAAGTTGAAAGTTATACTTTTTGAGAATCTAACATAATTGCCTTTGCTTTTTTGAATCCGGAAATATTCTAAATGTATATTTCTTGAATACACATTTAATTTTATTATAAAATTATTATTATTATCATGAAATTTATATAATGTAATTAATATTCCTTAAACTTGATTCTTGATACTTTTATAAAGTATTAAACTAAGTATGTAGATATTCTGATTATATGTAGAATATTAACAAATCTAATTTTTTGGTATATTGAAATAAATCAAAAAATTTTTGATTTCTCGTTGAATATTCATTTTTTCTCACCTGTTTTTACTATAGGATTGTTTTATTCAATTATTATTCTTAAATGAACTCTTAGTCTCTATTATTTATTTCAAATGAAGCAGCTATAGAAAAAATTAATGATATATGAATGATGATATATTTTTAGAATTAAAAGAAAAACAGAATTTTCAAATAAATAAAAATAGATGTTCCATATGTATTGAATAAATATTACATTTCTTATTCATTGGATTGATTGGAAATAATTTTCAATATCTTCTTCCTATTAGAAATTGGATATTCTATTAAAATAACACTAGCGGCTATCGTAATCTTGAAAATCTTGATCTTCCTCCTAATAAATATAAAAAATAAAAGAAATACTTGTTAAAATTATATTTCAGTATCAATATAATTTTACTCATCCCATAGCTATTGATTTGATGATTCCAATTGAGCATCATAAGTTTCTGTGGTTTCAGTATCGTCATGTAATTTTTATTTTTGTAAATAATTTTACTCTTTGATCATCTCTAAAGTCTTTCTTTGGATTTCAAGTTCTTTAAGTCTCTGATCTTTAAGCTTTTTCTTAAGCTTGTTTTGATTTTTTCTCAAATAACTTCTTAAAAATCCCATTTTTTCATTAGAGAATTGTTTTATATCTGCAGTGAGTAATTTGACTTTTTTAAATAGTTAAGTATAATCTTCAAGAGTTTTTTTGGGTATTCCAACTAATTCTGCAGCTTAATTCAAAGTAACTTTGATTATTTCACCATTTTCTATTTATAATCCTTCAGTAAACATTTATCTCCATCTTTCAACTTTCTCAATTGCTTCACAAACAAGTCTTTCTTTAACTCTTTTGAAGGACTAGTGCTTATTAGTAATAGAAGTAGAAGTATTCATTTTAAAAAAGTAAAGTAATTTATGCATTTTTGAATTTATGATCTCATGACTTTAAAATTTTCTAAAAAAAGATACATAAACAAATTATTTATATATAAAAATCAAATCAATACAGGTTTCGGATAAAGTCAATTGAATTTTTTTTCTTTTTATTTCTTTGTTCTAAATGACTTTGCACTCTTGATCCTTGATTTGAAAAATCCTCTTTAAATAATTATTAAAGTCTTTTAGAACAATTTTCTATTGTTTTTCTATTTTCTTAAATTGATTTTATTTATTATCTCATTATAACTTGATTTTCCAACTTTTTATCATTACTTTATAGATTTACAATATTATTGACTTAAATTAGTCTACTGTTAAAAATAAATTTAGTACGGCTTTAAAACTGTTGTGCTAATACTTCTAACATGCTTAACAAATGAACCCATTCTTCTTCTTTGGGATATGGCATTTGTTATATGCTCTTTATCAGTTTATAAAATCTTTCTATAAGTTTTTAATTACTCTTCATGATAGTTATCAAATTCTTCTAGTTTTTTATTTAATCTATGACTTCTAAGCAATAAAGGGTCGTTTTCCTTAAAATTATTATTTAAATTACTTGCAACTACTCATTACAACTAAAATGAATTCTTTTAAGCAAATTATGTTATCTGATCTTATTCAAGATTAAATCAATATTCTCTTATTTTTGATGCCATTCTGGATTTTGAGGAGGTCTTTCGTATATGTTTAGACTTAGTTCTGGGGAATTCCTAAATGTCATTATTATAATAATAATTTTTATAGTTTTGCATTATGTCATGAATCATAAATACAAAATAATAAAATTAAATGTTCTAATATAAAGAATATTTTATGATCATTTTTGCATTTTTTTTCTTTCTGCAATTTTTCTTCTGGCTTTTTTAGCTTAATATAACAATTTAACAACTATTTTTAAAGCCATTTAAATATTGAGACTAGTTAAAGCAAATCGAATATCCATTTCAGTAACATCAATATATTCAATATATTGATTTATAATAGGCTGTTTACCAAAATCGGTTACCCAATCATCCATAATAATTTAATCTATTTTTAATCTTTTTTCAGGAGCTTTTTATAATAAACCTTATAATAATTTAATAATAGAAGTGGAAAATCCTTAGGGTTATAAAAAAGAAGGACTAAATAAATATATAATTTTACTTATCTTCCAATATTTATTATCTTAACTCCATAGACTTTTAACTTGTAAATGGAAGTTTTCCATAGACCATTTAATATAAAGTCACACCTCCTGCCCAAATATCAACAGGTTTTCCATCAAAGTTCTATCCTATAATAATGAATCAGATTCATACCTTTAAAAACTTCAGGAGCTAGATATGCTTAAGTGCCTGTTTAATTGGATATTCGTCCATCACCACCATCTTCCATAATATGAGAAACACCAAAGTCTGCTATTTTAAGTTGATCATTAATATTGACTAAAAGATTTTCTGGTTTGATATCTCTATGTATTACATTAACACATTCATGTACTAAATATGAATATAATTTTACAATAATACAATCCTTTTATAAAATCAGAAAAATAATGACGACATTATTCCTCTGTAAGTCTAGATGTAGGGTGCTTTTCATCAATTTCGTCCAGTATATTTGATGTAGCTCTTTATTTTTTAAAAAAGCTTTTGCTTAATATACTTCCTTTGCCCATGAATTCCATTACTAAATATAATTTATCTTTATTTGGATCATCTATAACCTCAAATAATTATACAACATTTTCATGAGAAATCTAATTAATAATTTCAGTACCTTTTTCATGATAGCTATTTCTCTTTCAAGCATTGTATAAGCATTTGATTTTGAAAGCAGTTTCTTTTTTAATTTTTTTTTATTAGCGATTTTAATTGCCTATGAAATCGAGTTAATATATCTACAAAGATTTCGCCTTTAAAATTTTATGCTTTTTTAACTTTTCCAAAGGCTCCCTGCCCTAGAGATTCTAAGACAGTATATTAATTGATTTATGCCATGCCTTCTTCATTTACACTCTTCTCTAAATGTGAAGTTTAGACAACCTCTAAAGTGTGTTAGACTTATAAAGATTTTCTAGGTTGTTTTTGCCTTTAAGAACTTAACATTTATGATTCCTTTATACTCAAATATTTTTCCATTGATATTTCAACTTTCTCATATAATATTGAAATTCTTACCTCTATTTTTTTTGATTTTCTAATTACATCAATTAGATTAGTAGTAGCATAATCAAGAAATGGCTTTTTAATCCCTGGTGACTTAGCATTAAATGCTTGTAAATTTTATGGGTTTTAATTTAGAACTATTTTTGAAGGAACGTTTCTAACAATCTCAAGAAGATTAGTCTAATGTTTAAGTTTATTTTTATGTGAAAACAATGTTGTATCATCCCATCTTAGATTAAAATCACTTGGATCTGTTTTTAATCTTTCAGGCTCTTAAAGTAGAGATAGCATCCTTACCATTCTAAATCATAGATACCTATAATTATTTAATTGATTGTTTGATGTTCCACTTCCCATATAAATAATTTCAATAATTTATTATTAAACAATAATGTAATCAGAAGATAATGAATGGTAAAAAATTGTATAGACAACAACTAAAATTGATTAGCAAATAAAAAATATCAAAATGAGATTATAATCAGCATTAACTTAGCTTATAATTCAATCAGAAGAAAATAATAAAAATATCAATCCTGAACCTATTGTTTAAAAAACTAATGTTCCTTTAGTTATTCAACATAATAGTAGATCTATAGAAAAGAGGGATAAGCCTGCTTTAAGATAATGTGCATCTAAATCTCCTATTCGAACCCCAGAATCTACAGATTGTCCATCACCAATCTCCTCAATTGCTCATAACTCTACTTTGAGAATGCAACTTAAGGCAGCAGAACTTTTGAGTCCAAAATACTAAAATATATCAGATAGGTTTCACATAGGCAAATTTTTAGGAAAGGGCAAATTTAGCGATGTATTTTAAGCACAGTAAAATATTAATTTAAGTTAGAGAAAAATCATCAAAAGTGTTAGTGGCTTTAAAAGTAATTTAAAAAAATGTAATCAGCAAATATAAGATGGAAGCATAATTGGCTCATGAGATAAAAATTTAAAGTTATCTCAATCATCCTAACATCCTTAAACTATATGGAGTATTTTAGGAACAAACTAAAGTATTGAATAAAAAATTAAAATAAGATCGTTTTAATTTTAGAATATGCACCTGATGGTGAATTATATAAACTACTAAAAAAGTAACCTAATCGAAGATTCAGTGAAAACAAAGCTGGAAATTATATTGCATAGATAGTTGAGGGAATTTCATATATGCATAAAATGAAAGTTATTCATAGAGATATAAAGCCAGAAAACATATTAATAAGCCTTGTAATAATAAAACGATTTAATTTAGTAATTTTTAAAAATAGCAGATTTTGGATTGGCAACTTATTCACCAGAATCAAAACCAAGGTAATCTTTTTGTGGGACAATAGATTATATGTCTCCTGAGATAGCCTCTGGTTAAGATTATGATCATTCAGTAGATTTATGGTCAATAGGAATTTTAGCTTATGAACTGACAACAGGAACAACACCATTTTATTAATCTTCAAAAGAAGATACAATGAGAAAAATTATAGAAGGAAGAGTTGATTTTCCTAAATATGTTTCTAATGAATTATAAGATTTTTCAAAATGTTGTTTAAGGAAGGATCCATCTTAAAGATTAAGATTAGAATAAATGGCTGTACATAAATGGATTTAAATGAATCATTAAGCAGGAGGATAGTATGACAGAATGCTTGTTTAATAATTAGTAACTATTTTGAAATGATTTATGTAATTAAGAGAAATTTATTTTAATTTTATTATAAATTAATGAGAAGTAATAATTAGCGCGAGAATTAAGAGAAAAGTGTTAGAAAACCAAGTCGTAATAACTTAGTTTTTTAATTTAAATCAAAGCAATTTTAAGATGAAGAGGAAATAGATTAAATAATCAAATCATGTGAGAAATCATAAAAATCTAGGAAACTAAGAAAATTAAGTTAAGACTCTTCTATGGAAGTAGAAGAAGAAGAGGATGATTAATCAGATAGTTAATATGAATCAGATTATAATGAAGATTATTGTTGGAAATGTAGATAAAAAAATAGACCTTTGTTGTGTTGTGATTCATGTTATAGATCATTTCATATGGCATGTATTGGAATAAAAAAGATGCCTCCAGGATCTTGGTATTGTCCATAATGTTATTAATATGAATAATCATATTGTCCTTATTGTGATGAATAAAGTACAAATGAAAAAATTATCTGTTCCAAATGCAACACATTTATTCATTTAGAATGCGTCTTAAAAGACATGCCCTTTGAAGCTCTTTTGAGATCACCAGTAAATCGGAAACATATTTCAGAAGAGTAGTTTTAATAATTATTGTTATCTGAAAGACCAACTAAGTCTTCCCCATTGATATTTCATTGCTGTTTGAAATGTTTATAAAGTTTTGGTGTTGGATAAATCTTAACTCATTTAAAATTCAAAGATTAATAGTGTTATTTAATTCTACTTGAATAATCATCATATTTGCATTGTCATTTTTTTGGTTAAACTTAAGTTCAATCTGTAAATCAAAGAAAGTTGAAAAATTATATAGAGAAAAATGAAGGAAAATAAGATACCTTAGAAAATGATAATGATGCTGAATTATAAACATCACTAAATTATATTGAAGAAGACATTTTAGAATATTTAGAACCTGAAAGAATTATTGGATGTAAAAGAGGAGCTAATGATTAAAAAAAATAATGGAAGGAAATATTTAATTAAGATATGCCTAAAATAACATAATATGGAACTAAGAATAACTATAAATTTTTAATTAAATGGTCAAGAATGTTTTATGAAGAAAGCAGTTGGGAAGATGCCTACTTTATTATGGAAAAATACAGGGATGAATTTAAAAGATTCTTAAAATCAAAAATATTAGAAGAAACTTATGGTACTCAAGAATATGATTAATTTATTAAACAATTTTAGAAAGTTCCTCCAGGAAAGGCTAAGAAAAATCAACCTGCTTGGATCACTGGTGGATAATTGCATTAATTTTAACTTTAAGGATTGTAATGGTTATAAAAATCATATGAAACTAATAATAATGTTATACTTGCAGATGAAATGGGATTAGGAAAAACTATATAAACCATTTCATTTTTAAACTTTTTATAATATGAAAAAAAAAAATCAGGACCATTTCTTATAATTGGACCAGCAACTATCTTATATAATTGGTTGAAAGAATTAAAAAAATGGGCTGAAACTTTTAATGTTATCGTTTACACAGGTAATCAAGAAAGTAGGGACATTATCAAATCTAAAGAATTTTATTATAGTAATAACAACAATGTTTGTAAATTTAATGTAATGATTACTAGCTATGATATTGCTATTATAGATTAATCTATCATCAAAAAGATTAATTGGGAATGCCTTATTGTAGATGAAGCTCATAGATTAAAAAATAATGATTCTAAATTCTTTAAAGTCTGTTCTTAATTCTCTAGTTAACAAATTATCTTACTTACTGGTACTCCTTTATAAAATAATTTATAAGAATTAATAAATTTAATTGAATTCATAGCTCCTTAAAAAGTAAAATAACTTAAAAAAGAGTAATTAAATGTTTTATTTAATAATTAAGATTTAGATGATTTCTAAGAAGTCAAAAAAACTACATTAACAGAATTAAATTCTTTATTAAAACCTCATATTCTAAGAAGAACAAAGGCTGATGTAAAATTGTAGGTTCCTGAAATGGAAGAAATTATTATTAAATTGTGTTTGACAGATAAATAGAAGTTTCTTTATAAAAATGTTATGTTAAGAAATTATGAAAAATTGAAAGTTTTAGATTAAAAAAAAGGGGCTAGTAAGGCTAATTTATTAAATATTTTAATGTCCTTAAGACTAGTATGTAATCATCCTTATCTTTTTACTTACAAGAGAGAGTTTCCAAATGAAGATATAGAAGAAATGATTAATTAATCAAATAAATTAAAATTTGTAGATAGAATCATTCCTAGATTATTAGAAATGCAACATAAAATGCTTATTTTTAGTTAATTTACAATGATGCTTGATTTAATGCAACATTATTTATAATTAAGAGGGTATAGTTATGAAAGATTAGATGGAACTACAAGTATTATGGATAGATAAAGAATTATTGATTCATTTAATAATTCAACTGGTAAATCAAAAATATTCCTACTTTCAACAAGAGCTGGAGGATTGGGTATTAATTTAACTTCTGCTGATACTATTATTTTTACTGATAGTGATTTTAATCCATATAGAGATCTTTAAGCAATTAGTAGAGCACATAGAATGGGATAAACAAATAAAGTTAAAGTATTTAGATTAGTAAGTAAATATACAGCTGAAGAAAGAATTATTTAAATAGCAACTAAAAAATTGCTTTTAGAAGAAATTATTATAAATCCAATTAATAAATTTACTAAAGATGATTTTTAATCAATTTTTAAAGAAAGTACTTGGGAATTGTTTAATAAAAATTTAGAAGAAAAAGACTAAGAATTTACAGATGAATAATTAAATATATTATTATAAAGAGATATTGAATAGTAATCAGATTAACAATATGTAAATTTAAAAAAAAATGATATAAATGATTATTATTTATCAGGATTCAAATTTACGAGTTTTAATTTAGAATAAGTAGAGAAAGAAGGTGATGAAAGTCATTAGAATGTTAATTTAGATAAATATTGGGAAACATTTTTAGATGAGGAAGCTAAAGAATTTGCAGAAAAAGAATAATATGAATTTGGTAAAGGAAAAAGATTAAAAAAATAAAATATCCCTAACTATCATGAAGATTATCATCAATGTATTATATAAATTAGAAATATAATTAGTTTCATCATCCTAATATAGTCCATCTGATTAAAGTTAAAGAACTGGATCAGAATAAGAAAATGATGAGAATAAGAAAGATTAGAAAGTAGTATCAGAGAGAATGTAGAAGTTAATAGATAAAGATTTATAAATTATGAGATTTTTCTAATAAACTGTTCTTGAACATTCAGAATTAGCATAACTTAGTGTTGATAATGATATAGTGACATATGGTTTTACAGCTTATCATAGATTAGAATTTCTTGATTTTGTTTTATCTTTTGGAATGGATTTCGATTCAATTGATTAATTTTATTAAGCGTAATAATTTATTATTTAGATATTAGATTATAGAGAGAAAAACCTTAATGTTTTTCACCCGAGCATAAACCTAGTAATGATGAATTTAAAAAGTATGTTAAAGAATTTTATTCTCTACTTTTGGATTATGAGTAATTCAAAGATAAAAAAAATATTGCATTTTGTAAAATTAATCCTAAGGATATATTTTATAGAATTTGTGGATTGATCTATTTAAAAAAGAAATATTAATTCTACTAAAACAGACAAGCAAAATTTACTATTAAGCATGAAAGTATAATTAATGAACATTAATTTTTTAGACTATTAAAAAAATAAAGTACATAAGGATTAAGAATAAATTATATACAAAAATGAAGAGTGGACAAATTTCGATGATTTTACTCTTTGTAAATATATAGCTGAAAAAGGTCTTAATTCAAGTATGTATTATTTTGATAATTTAAGTTGATTAGATTGTTGAAGATCAAGGTTACTTTTAATTTGCTTCAGAGATACAAGAATATCCATTCTGGTTTAAATTATTTAGAAAAATTGAATAGATTCAATTCGAATAGATTTAAAATGAGGAATAAGTTAAGAAATATCTGAAGTATTGGATGTAGTAAAGATGTTTAATGTTAATGAGTTTAATTATTGATTCTGAAGAATGAAATTAAAATTATTATTAAATTATTTTAATGGAATATCAACAAGTGAAAACAAATCGAGTAGTCTAAACTACTACAACATCTGTTAAGAGTAATGGCTAGACTTTATCTACTAAAATAGACATTGTTAACAATGGAGAACAAGATCGAAGAATTCAAAATATTTCAAAATAAATGCAAATATTTCTAATGGCTATAGAACTAGAAAGACTTTCTGATTAAAATTATAAGCTAACTTAAAGATTAAAAAATATGGAAGATCATCAATTTAATACTATGAATTTGGAATAATAGATTATTGATTTAAAGTAAAAAATGAATTTACTTGATCAATAATATTAAACAGTTTTAATTTAGAAAGAAGAAATCTAGTATAATTATGAAGAAATCATTAAATTTTAAGAAAAGAATGAAGATAATCAGATTATACTTAAAAATGAAATTGAAAAACTAAGAGTTAAATTAAGAGACTTTGAGGAATAAAAATAAAATGAGATCTCTGCTATTATTAAACAGAAAGATCTTGAAGCACAAAAATTATTGGTATTGAGATTTTTCATATCTAATAGTAAAAACATTAATAAGAAAATGATTTCAATTGGTAATAATAAATGGAATACACTAATAAAGAATTATAAAAATTTAAGGAATTACATTACTAAATTAAAAAAGAGAACACTGAGTTGAAAACTTTATTACAATAATAAGATCTATCTAAAAATAGAGAATTAGAATTAACAATAATATAATATAAAAATGATATTGATAGGCTAAATTAAAATTTAAATAAATATTAAATAGAAAATTAACATTTAAAAGAAAGAATTTATAACGTTGACTAAATCTAATAAGAACTTGAAAAGTTATCATCAGAAAACTTAGAACTTAATGAGAATTTGTAATATTTATAAAATGAAAATTAAGAAAAAAAAATAGAATGTGAAGCATTTTAAGAAGAACTTGAAAAATTAAGGTATGGTTTATCTTTGAAAACTTAAGAACTTGATGAATATAGAGTGAAAAACACAAAATTTGAAAAAACTCAAATGGATTTTTAAAGGAACAAAAAATCACTTGATGAAAAATTTACAATCATGCAATAAGAAATAGATAGATTGTAGTTAATAATCAGATAAAAATCATCTGAAATAGAGAATATTTAGAAAAAAATTCATGATAATTCAGCTGAGAAATAAAGATTAATAGAATTAGAATATTTATAAAAATTAAATGATAAAAAAAATATGGATTTAGATAAAAGAAATCAAGAATTAAATTAAAGATTAATTGATTAAACTAAAAAGACATCAGAATTTGAAAAATATAATAATGATTTGACAAAATAAAATAATGATTTGACAAAATAAAATAATGATTTAACAAAATAAAATAATGATTTGGCAAAATAAACTAATGATTTGACAAAATAAAATAATGATTTGGCAAAATAAAATAATGATTTGACATTCTAATATAATAAAGTATAAGAGAAATGTGATGGTTTTGAAGTGAGATATAATAATCTTTTGTTAGAAATAGATAAAATAAATAAATAGTTTGCTTTAAAGTAATTTTTCTATCATTATTAAAAGAACGCAAGAAAATGAAGCTATGAATAAATAAATTATAGATAGTAAAATAAAATTGGCTAATTATGATAGTTAACTTTAAGAGCTTTATGATTAAATTAGTATTTTGGAGTAGGATATTGAAAAATTAAAAAAATATGAAGAAAATGTAAGTATAAATTGATTTTTAGTGTAGAGTATTATCATATGAAATTGATAGGTTGAATAATGTAATTGGTTAATAAGAGAATGAACTTAAAAATTGGAGACTTTAATATTCAAATGAAGGATCCCTTAACAAAAGGATAGTTGAATTATTATCAATAATGTTTGTACTAATGATAGAAATAGAAAGTTTAAGAAATTCTATAATTAAAAAAGACAAGTAAATTGAAGACTTAAGAAATTAAAATTTAGCCTAATTTAAAGAAAAAAATAAATGATTTTAATATGTTTGTTGATTATTATTAATTTAATATCAATTTTCATCAAGAATAAATTCACCAATAACATTTTGCATTTATAATAAATTCTTTGAAGGTTTCCAAATTTTAATTAATTTATCTTGTCCACCACTTATAACGAGATGATTATCTTAGATGACATGTAATGTATTTATTTATTACTAAAATGATAATATAAATATAAATTACATTTGAAGCTGTAATTTCATGAATTAATTAAAATTTACCATCTTCATTAACCTTAATAGCCCTAACATTTCCATCTTTGGATGCTGTGTAAATTAATTTTAAATTTTTATCAACTAAAAATGATATTAAATAAGTACTTGTTAAAGCTGTTATCAAATCTTTATGAATGCTATCATTTGTTGTAATTTCTAAACCTGTTTACTAATTCCATAGTAACATTCTTTTACTTAAAGAACTAGTTTATTAAATAAATATTTATACCAACTAACAACATAATCATTAAAAGAGGCAACTCCTGTTACTTTATCCAATTAAGGTGGCTATAACTATTAAATTTGATTATATTTATTTTTATTAAATGATATCCTTTTTGTATAATGTTTTAATGTTCCATAAATCAATTCAGAATTTTCATCAGAACCATAAAGACTTAAAATATCCGAGCCTTTTTCTAATTCATACAAAATACTAGAATAATAATGATAATAATTTTATTTACTTATTTTATCTTGAATCCCAAATATTTAAAGCATTAGAATTAGTTGATTTACCAGCTGCAACTAATAATCCATTGATACTTGTAATAGATTTGATTTCTTCAATAGAAGATTTAAGTAATCCTTTACACATTAATGTTAAAGGATCATATAAAGATATTTGAGATCCATGAGATACTGCAAAAGCATCTCGGCTAGCCCAATAATATATAGATCTACAGTGATTGCTTTAATCTATTGTACTTATAAGTTATTGACATTCTATGTCCCAAACCTTGAATTATTTATATTATCCAGAACATAATATATTATCCTTTGTATAAATTGAAAGAATTGGTTAATCATGTCCTTAAAGGGTTTTCACAATACTATTTCTAATTTTAATAAATACTCATAATTGATAATCTCTTAGGATGAATTCAGTTACTCTGTGATCCAATTTTAAGATAAAGAATTTTTAATTCTCATGCTTGACCCTAATTATCCAAATGATTTTACATGAGTTAAAGCCATAGGGATTTATTCTTATTTAATCTCTTTACTAATTGAATTTCTAAATGCATGAAATGATTATGAATGTTATAATTATGAACCACCCAATCCTATTGATTTATCTTTTTATTGTTTATTTATTTATTCACTATAAAAGTTTTTATAATAATCTAATTCTATGCTTGTTGTTCGATGTTAGTTTTATAATGCTTACAGTTTTCTTTTATAATCATTTACCTATCTTTTTAAATCATCTATTGGTGTACTTAATCTACTTGATTTCTTTATCGGACTCGGTTTTGAATTTATAAGTTCTTAATTTGTTTAATTTAATTCCTCTATTTACTGAGCGTATAAAGTCATTTGATAATGATCTTTAACCCAATTATCAATTACATACCTAAATGATCTTGTACACCAATTTGGTAAATCTTTGAAATATTAATTTGTTAAAACAATCGTATAATAATCATTTGCTTTTTATGATATTACACGATATTCATTAATTTTTTAGATTTAGAATTCTATGGTTTCAGATATATTTTCTCTTTTCTACTAAAAATCATTTAATTCAAGTTCAAATTATTAAACATTTTCCATGCTATATAATGTATTGTTTTATGCGATATCAAATTAGAGTTAATCTATTTTAATTTATAATGAACAAATCTTCACTTCAATTTATCTTAATTCTTCTTATAGTTCTTCTAATTTAAAACATTCTTTATTTATTTATTCTTCAGCTTATTCACCTAAAATTAATTCAGTAAATAAGTCATCAATTTATTTTTCAAATGTGTCATATTATAATGATTTATTTGGATTATATCGATTATGTTATTTGATGATTAATTTTTCATTCTTTTATTTTTGTAATTCATCTTCTTTTCTTTTTAACTAGACATCTTTCTTAGTATTATCATTTTTCAATTTACTCACTAATGTATCTTATTATATTTTTTATTTTTTGGCATGTATTAATTCTTTATGCTTTTATTCTTTATCTTTAATATATTTTTCATTTTCTTGTTTCATTTTCTTAATAAGATCAACTTTTTATTTTTTCATTTATTCAATATTATTTCTTAATTCTTTTACTTAACCTTCCTAATCTTCTAGTTTCTTTTACAATTATTTTGATGTTAATTCTTTCTATCTCATATCCAAAATTTTAGTCTCATATTCTTATATTTTTAATTTAAGTTAATTCATTTAAGCAGAATCCTATTTAGTATTCAATTATTTTTATAATTTAGCTTTTTCTTCTTCCAAAATAGAAATTTATTTTAAATAGTTTTATTTATCATCTTATAATAATTGAATAGTTTCGATCTTAATTTTATCAAGTTCTTATAGCTAATACTCTTACTCTTCAATTTGGAGATCTTTTTATATGATTTCAGAATCATCTAATTCAAAATCATCATCAATTTAATCAACATCTTGTTTTCTTTTTTCTAATCTCATTAATTCATGTTATTTTTATCTTAATAACTTTTGATCTCTGCGTGCTTCCTGTACTAAGTTATGTATCAAATTTAAATACTTTTAATAATTAATCATTATTAGATTATAAGAGGAATATTCTTTCATCTTGTTCTTAAACAATCTTTTTCAAATTAGCAATTTCATTATAATAAGTATCCAATTATTAATCTTCATTAAAATTAAATTAGATATTATATTTTTATAAGTATCTAAATAATATAACTTAATACTTTTTAGCATCTTGAAATTATTTCATAACTTAATCCCTTTATTTTTTAACCTTATAACATTCAAGCATACTCTCACTAAGTCCTTTTTAACAAGTCTAAAGTTCTCTTTATAAATTATTTAATTGCTTTTCTAATTGATAATTTTAATTTTTTAATTTTAAAATTATTTCTCCATGTTCTTAACATGATTACAAAGGTCCAGAACTTGGTGAAATTGACTCATAAATTTAATTTGACATAAATTTAACAGAATCCGTATTAATATTATTGTCTTATAGTATTTAAGTGAATTGCTTAATTTAATCCTAAAGACCAAATATTTATTATTTTAAAGCTATAATCTATGCAGCATGAGGATCCTAAAATAAAATTATGTATTACCCTATTTTAAGTAGGTTTATTTTTAATTTCTCTTGCTCTACTAGCATACTTCAAAGTATTAATAGTTTCTTCATAATTGCTTGCTGAAGGAGAAATACATGCAATCATATAAGTATTGGAATTACCTCCCAAAGAATCTTATAGAATTCTATAAATTTTTTATATATTATTACCTAGTTAATTTACTTTCTCTATATGGAACATGAGCAGATTTCTTTTAATCACTTAATGTTTTAATTACATTTCCTAAAACCAAAAGACTTTAATTAATATTAATTCCTTCTTCCATTTGTTTACCTATTGCCATAGTTTTTTTTAATCTTTCACTTCCGGCTAAATCAACAAAATGAAATTTAGCATTTAAAGATCCTTCCTCAGATTCCCGGTTTATTTCAAAATAAATTGTAAATATTGCATGTGAACGTGAGCTATTTAAATTCATTTGAGTTGCTGCAGTTGTTCTATGTGTTCCTCCTTTATTTAATATTTGAAGCATATCTTAAGGATTAATTACAGCTATTGTAGTCAAATTTTGAATTGAAATTGTATGATCCTTTTCCTCTCTTATAGTTGGCTATAAATTTGATTTAATTGTTGATTCATTCAACAGATCAATTATTTATTCATTATATAATTCTACATATGAGCATGTAATTATTATGTCCTGTTCTTATTTTCTTTTCTCCACTTCATCAAATAAAAAATATACTGCTCTTGGTATCATTCCCCATTCATTTTATTCTATGCATTAATCACAATATTAAACCAGAATATTGATCTAAACCTGATGTTCCCATTGTAAAGGTTTTCCCAGAACCAGTTTGGCCATATGCCAATATTGTACTATTATATCCCTCAAAGCATCTTAAAATTAAATTTGTAACACAACTAAATTTAGCAATCCAATCAATTACCAACCAAATATATCCTCCTAATTGGAATCCTAATCAAATACATGGTCAAAAGTAAATATTTTACCACTTTATGGCAAAATTATCTATTTTCATAATAATTCATACTCTATTATCTTCTGTCTTTAAACAATATTCATCCTTTGCATTTAGTTCCTTATTGCTTAATGGTCTCACTCTGACTGCCACTTACACATTTAATTATTAAGTTTGAATATCCATTTTATTATTCTAACTTAACTCAATTTTTATATAAAACAATCTTAATTACTTAAATATTCATTTTTACTAAAACTTCTAAAAAATATCATGACTTTATAACTAACTAAGACAAATTTTTATAAGTAAAGAGTAATTTCATTATTCATAATCTTTTAGTCAAGGTTAAAAAGTACTAGAAATTTAACTTTAGAATGAAACTAAAAATTTATCGATTTAAAATCTAATGCAAGCCCTAATTTGAATTTTTTCTTGTTTTAGTTGTGCATATATAAATTAAAAACAGCATTCTGTAATAATATTTACCATTATAATCTTACAAAAAACAAATGAGTCCTTTTAAATTAATGATTATGAATCCTTTATTCATTATATAAAGATTGTTTATATATATAAGTTTGTAATGTATAATTTATTATCAAGTTTCTGATTTAACTTTAAGACCTTTGTGAAGTGTCGAGATTCTTCGAATGAGAATAGTACTTGAATTAATACTTTTTAATTTTGGAACCTGAGAATAAAGTCTTTATAAATTAATAGGAGGATTAACCTAAGGTTTAATATAATTCTAATCCTTTTTTTATTTTGATCCACAACAAATGAACATTTCTTTTCAAATCTTATTTATTAGCTATTAAAAATTATTTAATTAAAATATTTTTATAATAGGCAAAATATAAAATTTTATTAAGAAATTTAATGGTTTTTAAGAATGATTAATATATTTACATATTTTAAGTTATTTCTTAAGAAGTGATTTAACAGAATTTATTTTTAATGTTATTATTAATATCAGTCAAGATAATCTATTCATTTTATATAAAAATTTTTATCTTAATAATCAGTTGAATAATAATCATTATATTCAATAGGGTCATTGATATATTCATGTTTATTTAATTTAATGCTTTGTTAATCTAATAAATCTTATAATGCATAATCCATTTGATTAAAATCTCTTTTTTATTATAAAAGATCGATGTCCTCTAATCTTTCAAGTTTACCTATAATAGATATAATAAATATACTAGAATATTTTTGAATAACATTTTTAATTTCATCCTCTTCTTGTATATAATATGGATGAGTATTGCTGATCAAAGAGATATAGTCTTATTTTGGTATCATAGAATTATTCTCAATTTTCGAGTAATCATAATTATTAACTGGCTTTGAATCCAAAATATTTTTAGCAATATAGAGTTATGATCTATTTTAATAATCCTCTGGCATATCAAATTCATTTTAATTTATTTGTAAACCTGATCTATAATTAAGGATAGTATCATCCTCTTTATTATTATTTAATCTTTATTCATTAATCATTTCTTTAGTTTATTTATTGAACGATGTAGGTTGAATTTATGTAGAATCAGTAATTATTCCATATAAATCTTTATTTACCTCATCATTACTTACTAGGAATGGATCATTTTGATTTAATTTTTATCTTCTTGGAAAAGCATATTTAATCACATCTGGAGTTTATAATCTTTATGCAGATTCAATAATTTATCTTGTTCTTTCTTAATTTTGAAATGCTTAATATAATTCTCTTTATCTAATTTCATCTATAATTTAAGTAGATCTTAGTTCATCTTTTAATTTTCTAATTTACTCTTCATTATAATGTCTATGCTCATTCGCCTTCATTAATTAGCTTTTTAATGAAACTACTTATTCTGATACTTGATTTGTCTATAGATTCATTTCTTATCTTAATCTATGTAATTCAACATTTATTGTATCTCTAACAGTCTTTTCCACTTCAATTGGTAACTCTTTTATGATTCTTTATTCTATTCTTGATTACATCATATCATTTTTTTAGTCTCTATAAGCTTTTTCAGCTTCTTAAATAGGTGTTCTTTATCTGGCACCTGTTTTAGCATTTTTTTTATTTTATTGTTCAATTAATTCATTTTAGTATTTCAACATTTCTAAACGTTTTAAAGCTTTTAAACCATCTACATCAAAATTAGTTTATTAAAGATTTCTTTTTTCTAATTTATCAATCCCAAATTCATCTTTCATTCTTCTTTCTTATTCTTCCCTTTCTCTAAGTATTCTTAAATCATCTAATTCTTTATCTCTTTTTATTTTTAATTTCTCCTCTTACTTCTTTTTTTCAGTGATATCAATTTATTAAAGTAATTCTCTTTACAACACAAATTTTTTTTATCTCTTTTCAGCCTATGCAATTTATTCTCCAATTTAACTCAATTGACTCTAATTAATATTTTGAATATATCTTACATTATTTTAAATAGGCAAATTTATCATACTTTGATTTGTAGATACCATTCTTTGAGGTTGAATAGGATATTAACTAACACTCAAATAATCAGGTTAATTAAATTAAACAGATGATATTTATGGACCAAATATTTAAGCAGATGATATATTAGGATCCATAGGATTTCTTCTAGTTGTCTAAACATAATACTATTATTATTTACAGTTATATTTCCATATTAATCTCTTAATGGAGCACCACCTCCACCTCTTGTTAANGGTTGAATTTATGTAGAATCAGTAATTATTCCATATAAATCTTTATTTACCTCATCATTACTTACTAGGAATGGATCATTTTGATTTAATTTTTATCTTCTTGGAAAAGCATATTTAATCACATCTGGAGTTTATAATCTTTATGCAGATTCAATAATTTATCTTGTTCTTTCTTAATTTTGAAATGCTTAATATAATTCTCTTTATCTAATTTCATCTATAATTTAAGTAGATCTTAGTTCATCTTTTAATTTTCTAATTTACTCTTCATTATAATGTCTATGCTCATTCGCCTTCATTAATTAGCTTTTTAATGAAACTACTTATTCTGATACTTGATTTGTCTATAGATTCATTTCTTATCTTAATCTATGTAATTCAACATTTATTGTATCTCTAACAGTCTTTTCCACTTCAATTGGTAACTCTTTTATGATTCTTTATTCTATTCTTGATTACATCATATCATTTTTTTAGTCTCTATAAGCTTTTTCAGCTTCTTAAATAGGTGTTCTTTATCTGGCACCTGTTTTAGCATTTTTTTTATTTTATTGTTCAATTAATTCATTTTAGTATTTCAACATTTCTAAACGTTTTAAAGCTTTTAAACCATCTACATCAAAATTAGTTTATTAAAGATTTCTTTTTTCTAATTTATCAATCCCAAATTCATCTTTCATTCTTCTTTCTTATTCTTCCCTTTCTCTAAGTATTCTTAAATCATCTAATTCTTTATCTCTTTTTATTTTTAATTTCTCCTCTTACTTCTTTTTTTCAGTGATATCAATTTATTAAAGTAATTCTCTTTACAACACAAATTTTTTTTATCTCTTTTCAGCCTATGCAATTTATTCTCCAATTTAACTCAATTGACTCTAATTAATATTTTGAATATATCTTACATTATTTTAAATAGGCAAATTTATCATACTTTGATTTGTAGATACCATTCTTTGAGGTTGAATAGGATATTAACTAACACTCAAATAATCAGGTTAATTAAATTAAACAGATGATATTTATGGACCAAATATTTAAGCAGATGATATATTAGGATCCATAGGATTTCTTCTAGTTGTCTAAACATAATACTATTATTATTTACAGTTATATTTCCATATTAATCTCTTAATGGAGCACCACCTCCACCTCTTGTTAAATTATTTGATGGATTTTGTAATTATAATTCCTAATGATTAAACTAATATATAGAACCATCAGACGCTCTTATATTTTTTCCTATTACTCTCTCATTTTTTTTTGTTCAATTTATTATCTTAAGGTATCTCCATACTACTTTTTATTGATTTATTCTAGGGATGGTTCGCTTATAGGCAATGCATTTGAATTTTGAAGATTAGGTACAGATTAAGAGTTTATCATAAAAAATAAATATAAATCATATTTCTATTTATTCAACGCTAGGTTTCTTATTTAATTTTAATTCACAATCTCCATCTTGAAGTTTAAATAAAGCTTATATGTTATTATTCTTAGACAAAAGAGCTCATTAGACTTTCTTTATTATTAAACTCTTTTTTTGAATTCATTCTCTTTACTACTTTCAATTTCCTATTTTTTATTTTGAATTTATTTCTAATTCTTTTTCTATCATTATTTATAGAAAACAATTATTCACTCTATAATTCATAATAGCTATAGCTCTTTGTTAATGATTTCTTAATTTATTTTTAAACTATTAAGTTTTCATATTTTAATATAAAAAAACTTTGTTTTATTGATTTTAATTACTTTTTATTTAACTTTACAACTTTTTTTGTTATAACAATTTTGAAATAATAAAAAATTTATGAAATGATTTTACTTTTTTACTCCACCTTTTTACATTTTTCATTAATCAGTTTTAAAATTCTTTTATCTTATATTATTCAATATGCTATCAAATATTTGATCATCTTAATTACACTTTTTGAATAATTTTCATGTCTCAATTTTAATATTTTTTGTACAACTTTAGAAAAAAACTTATAAATTATTGTTAAAATGATAGATTTTTTATATTTATATCTACACATTAATAAAATTTTGTATTTGCTAGTTATTCTAATATTTTAAATTCAATTAGATTTAAAAAAGCTTTTTTTTACTTAAATATTTCTTTAGAAAAAATATCAATAATTAAAAAAAGTTAAAGATTTTACTTATTAGTTTTCCAGTTAAGTTTCCAATTTTTTTAGATTTATATCATCAAAATATTAAGATTAAAAAATATTTATACAACAGTGTCATTATTTTGAATTTATTATTGAAAAGTATTTTGAATTCAATTTATTCCATCTTCTTTTATTTTTGAAATATCTTTAAAAAGGTAATAAACACACTTAAAACAATAATACTTTGTAATTCTCTTAGAGATTTCTGTAAGTTTATTTTATTAAATTTTTTAATAAATATGTATCTCTCTAAATTAATACGACTTTTTAGAATTAAGGAACCATTTTTATCATAATAAGAAATATATTAGGAATAAGAGGCTTTGATTTAAGTTTAAAAGAAAATTAATTTTGCAATGGAGATCTTTAAAAGTGTATTAGAGTTTCTATTGGGCTATAGACTATTGCCAAATTTATATGCAATTACTTTTTTCCTATTATCACTCTCAAGTTTAAGTTAAATAATTTTAATACACTAAAAAATAAAAATAAATCCTTTATTTCGAGTTATACATTCATTATTATTTTCAGCACTTTATTTGAATAAATTTCAAACAACAGATTTTTTGATTGTTTACCTTATTTACGTTTCATCAGGAATTGAATTAGATGCTTTGAAAATTTTTTATTATATAGGATTTTAAGTAATTTTTGAAACATTAAAACCTGGTGATTTTATTTTAAATAATGGGGAGCAAATATTCTCATGGTTAATTTTATTTACAATTTATCTTAATTTATTCGTGACAAATAAAAAAAAACTATCTCTTACATTTCCTTAATTCAGTATTGTAAAAGATGCAGACAATTATGATGAGTAACTATTTGATATTAATGAAAAACAATATCTTATCATATTAAATGTAAATAATATTGATATTTATTTATTAGGTCAGAAATCAGGAAGTTTTATATGTGAATAAACCCTTTTTAAAAAAATTCGGAACATAAACTTCTATTTTAGAAAAATTAGAATAATTCATAGTTCAGATTGATCATGAATATAATCATGATGGAAATAAATCAACTGATCATTATTTTACTAAATCTACAAATATTTTAGAAAGTTTGAATCATTAGGATTTATTTTTGTAAATGCCATTAATTGTTCAAGCTCAATTAGATGATTAAATTTATAAAGTAAATATGTAATAATGCATTTGGAAAGGACAATAAAGTTATGCAATTAATATTATTAATATAACAGATGATTAAATGGTTTTAGAACTAAAAAAATTAGATTCTTATAAAGATAATATACTTGCTACTGTTAGTCATGATTTAAAAAATCCTATAGGAGCTATTTATTAAACTTTATTATTTGTATAAGAAGATTTGTAGAAATTAATCCAATAGTAATAAGATTTACAATAAAGTATTTAATTTATAGATATTTGTATAAATAATATTATATTTTTGCAAAGTTTTGTTAAAGACTTATCTGATTTTTAGATGATAAAAATGTAAAAATTGAAAGTTTTTATTACATAATTTGATATTTTGAATATATTTAAATAAATTTAATAAGCATTTCAATTGCAGTTGTAAATTAAAAAAATAGAATTTTATATTCAAAATAAAACAGAGAATAGTTAGATAAAAAATGATGAGGTGAGATTGAAATAAGTATTATTTAATTTAATATCAAATTCTTCGAAATTTACAACAAATGGTTAAATATCATTGATTGTTAGTGATAATAATTAGGATATTTAAGAATTTTATATGAATGTTCAAAATTAGATGAAATAAAATAAGTCAAAGTAAAGTTCTTGTAAGATAGATGAATAATTAAATAATTTATTATTAATTACAGTTTGTGATACAGGAGTTGGTATAAGTGATGAAGTAAAAGGTTAATTATTCAAAAGCTACAGTACTTTTGATGGTGAGAAAAAATAGAATAGGTAAAGAAATGATCAAATAATAGGAATGGAGTTGGATTAGGATTAATGATTAGTAAATAGTTATGTGGATATATTGGACCTTTAAAATATATTTATATCAATAGTAGAATTGGAATAGGAACAAATTTTTAATTTGTTATATATAAAACTCATTATGATGATATTGAAAATGTTGATGATCAACCAATTTAGATTAATTAAGTTAGATATTAGAAAATACCTAAGTAAACACCATAAAATAAATAAAGAAGTGTATTGTTAGTAGATGATGAACTTTTCAATAATGCAACTAATAAATAGTTGTTTTAACAATGTGGAGTGAATTAAATATAGATAGCATATTCTGCCAATGAAGCAATATAAATGGTAAAATAAAAGTAATTTGATATGATATTACTTGATATCAATTTACCAGATAAAAGTGGAATCTAATGCATTAAGGATTTTAAGAAATTTAATAGGAATGCCAAAATATATATTCTTAGTGCATTTGATGATTAAGAAACTAGACAACAATGTATAAAAGAAGGAGCAGATCGTTTATTTTAAAAACCATTAACATAAAAATAAATATTAAATATATTATGAAAGCATCAAAATACTAAATAGAAAATCGTGATTATAATATAATCACTTGTGTAGATTTTCATCCTTCTTAATAACCCTTACCTCCTTTAAGAAAATTAGGCCAATCTTAAGATCATCCATACCCTAGAAAAGCAAAATTTGAAGTTGCATAAGAATCAGCATAAATGCAACAGACACACCATACAAGAGATCATAATTCTCATTAAGAAATTAGAACAATTAGACCTGGATCAATGATGAATGTTTCATCAGTTAAATTTGATTTTATTTCTTTCACTTAGGCTAAATCATAACCTTTTAATGATCTCAAATAAGAAATGAAAATTTTACATAAAAAAAAAGTACTAAACCTATATCTTATTCTAGGGAGGAATGGGTGAAATTGCTGATTTAGGTGGATTATGCTATCCTAATTTTAATAAAGAATATTAAGATAAAATTAAAGAAAATTAAACTGTTTTTAGAAAATAAAAAGGTGAATACCCTGCTGTAACTGAACCTAAATACACTTATGGCCCTTTTATGAAACCCTTTAAAAAATATAAATTCTGATGATTTCATCATATATAATTTATAAATCAATTTATCAAAAATAATATTCCATTTTTTGGTTAATCTAAAATTCAAAACTATAACAAATAGAATTACTTATATAAGTTATTCATTTCATTAATAAATTTAATTGGTTTATTATGTAGGATTAATAAAATTCCATTATTTTATTTATTTTTCAATTATCTAATCAATAAGCTAATTTTTTATTTTTTTAAATAAAGAGTAACATTCAAAAATTAGAGTGAACAGAATATAATTTTATTTATGATAATAAAGAATTTGATTATTATAAACTTTTACTTTAAAATTTTATTATAATTGTTATTATATCAAAAATATATAAATATTTAATAGTAATTCTTTAGATTGAAGTTAAATCTAATATCGTGTGGTTTTATAAGAGAATATTTATATTTTTTATATTTTGATTTAATAAATAATTATTTGATAATGTAATAAATTTAATAACTTGAAATCGGAATTGTGTTGTTAGTGGCATGTCTGTCTTTCTTCTTTTTAGGCTATCAATGGGCTAATTCATAATAAAATTCTTATAATGATAGTGTATCTTACCATTTAAAATATTTAGATTGGATCTGAAGAAGATAATGAACATTAAGTATATATTTAGTAAATATCAGAAGTTAGATTAATAGGTAAGGGAATATAAAGAAAGAGAAAAATAATTTTAATAGTAAATTGAAGATCTCAAAAAATAATTAGCTATGGGAAATTAGATTAAGTATACAGATTTATGAGCATTATTAAGTAAAAATGTAGAGATTTAATACATTAAAATTAAATAAAATGTAATAATAATAACGTAAATTTAACGATAAATATTTATTCTATTCCTAGAGCTATAATATATCTCTTATCAAATCATCGATCAATTTCGTTTTGTGACACATAATCCACAAGAATATCTTAAACTAAATTTCAAAGCCGAATAGAGATCCATAAATTAAATCTAAATTAGTTTACATCTAGTATCATTTTTTGATTCTTTTGATTAATTGTATTCTATCTAAAATTTTAACTAATAAGAAACTAAAGACGATGGACTACCATATATTAATATTCATCAATCTTGGTTACTGAGTTTTCAATAATAATTAAAGTTTTCCTCATTTCTAAAAATATTGCTTTAGGCTCAAGCTTCTTTAATTTTAAAACATATCTAGTCAAAAGGCATATTCATAATAAGCAATTATCATTTTTTTAGATTTAAATTCTTTTATTTCATTTTCTCTTTATTCTCAAAATATCTATTAAATATTGGTACATCATTTTTGTCTTAATATTCTGAATTTTATTGATAAATCTCAATTAAATATATTAACTTCTATTATCTTAAAAAAATTGTTTAAAATGTCTTAAAAGCTTGATACTAAAATTTAAATTGAGATCTTTTTAACAAATCCATTATAAACTTAATTATAATATGAATAAACTCTATAAAATTAAAAAATAATAAATTCTTTTCAATTTGTAAATTTTTATAGAGTAATTTTATTTTAGAAAATAATTTATATATTATAATGGAGCTAACTTTTGCATAAAAGTATAGATTTACTTTAGATAAGAAAATAGGATTAGGAGCATTTGGTTAAATATATTTAGGTATAAAATAATTATATAAAAGGTAATAATATAAAAAGTGGAGAAGAAATTGCTATAAAATTAGTAACTGAAATTCTAATATTTTTTAGGAAAACGTAAGCAATAAACATTCGCAATTATTACATGAAGCAAAGATTTACAGAATATTATTATTAGATGGTCCTGTACCAGGAATTCCAAATTTACATTGGTTTGGATAAGAAGGAGATTTTAATGTTTTAGTTTTGGATATTCTTGGACCAAGTTTAGAAGATTTGTTTAATTATAATGGAAGAAAGTTTTCACTAAAATCAGTTTTGATGTTAGCAGATCAAGTAGATATTATTATTTGATTGTGTTTATCTTTAGTTATTAACAAGAATTTCATATTTGCATAGTAAAGACTTTATTCATAGAGACATTAAACCAGAGAATTTTTTAATTGGTTTAAATAAGAAGGCTGACAATATTTATATGATTGATTTTGGTTTAGCCAATAGATATAGATATTAAAGAACAGGTATAAATTTATAATATAAAGAAACTCATATTTAATTTGGAGAAAACAATTAATTGGTAGGAACATGTAGATTTTCTAGTATAAATGCACATTTAGGAATTGAATAAAGTAGAAGAGATGATCTTGAATCTATAGGATATATGCTAATATATTTTTTAAGAGGATCTTTACCATGGTCAGGAATTAAAACAGAAACAAAAAAAGTTAAGTATGAAAAAGTAGGTGAATGTAAAATTGCTACTCCAATAGATAAGTTATGTGAGGGATTTCCTGGTAATTTAATGTATTTTCATTTTAGAGGAATTTGTTAAATATTTTAATTATATAAAGAGTTTAAAATTTGAAGAAATTCCAGATTATGTTTGGATTAAAAGATTATTTAAGGATCTATTTTTTAAATAGGAATACATTTGGGATAATGTATTTGATTGGGCTTAAGAGACTAAATGAATATTAATTAAATAAAAAAAATTAACTTTAAATTTAGCAATTAGGAATCTTTGATTTGTAATTAAATAGTATATATTACATATAATATTTTTTGTTTCTTTTACTTATTGATATTTGTATAGTATCATTATTTTATTGACTGAATAAAAATTATAATATTTTAAAATTTAATAAGTATCACAACTTTTAACAAATTATTCAAAAGGTTTATAATGACTTATAATCATCCCAATGTCCATTCATTTAAAATAACAAATTATTACTAAGAAATTTATATTTTCATAATCAAATATTTAAATTTTATAAACCGCACTTTCGATAATATATGAAAATTTATATCTTATTATAGGTTTCATTAAAAATATAAAGACATCCTTAGATTATATTTTACAACAATATATTTACCTTGTAAACCTTTAACTAAGAATTTTCTCATCTAATTATCTAAATATAAAATAATACCTATCCTTTGGCCAATCTCATATAAATATGATCCGATGAATTATTTAACAAAAAATGATATTTTACAATATTAAGAAAGAAAGTATTTCGTAAAAGAATAGCTAAATTCTTTTATGAAACCTCTTCACATCCTTCATTAAAATGTATGAATAAAAAACATTTTTGTTTTCTTCAAAGAGAATGACAATACATAAATTATTGAAAATACTTTTTAAAAATGAGTATAATCATTGAAATTCTTGTTTACATAGTCAAGTTCGTTTCTTTAAGAGCTTGCTTTTGCTTAATATTTTGAGAGCTAACTATTTTTTAAAATTATTAAGTTCCATTGCTTCTCCATGAAATTGTGAGAACTTAAGGACTCTTTAGGCTTTTATTTAGTGTGATTCTGTAGTTTAGGATTCGATATTCATGAGGATTATTTTAATTATTTTCAATTAAATTTAGATATGTAATTAAATAATCACAACCATAAATTTATGAAATAAGAGTCATAGAATCTTTTGTAATTGGATTATAAATTAAATATTTAATTATTATTAGAAATTTTTATGAATAATTCTTTAAATTATTTAAAAAATATTTTATTTTTATCCACATTTATCAACTAAAACTTTTCCGAACTATTTTTCTTAAGAATTCTTATATAAAAAATATATAAATTAATATAAATAATTTAGACCCATTTCATGATGTCTAAAAAAGAATTCAATTTACTTATTTATCTATATTATGTAAGAAATATATATTTTCTAAATTAAATAAGAAAATACAATTAAAAGTTTTGAATTCATTTTGAATTAAAAGTTAAGGAAATACATGTTGTAGTATAATAAGATTGGTAAGAATATTTAATGTTTTGTTTGTCTATTTAATCTTATTTAAATTAGAATTGTGTAAATTTAGTCTTAATTCTTATCTGATTCATAAAGGAATTTTCTAGAGGAATTTAGTTTTTATATTATTTATAATTAAATGTAATGAATATAAATTTGTTAATAATCTATATGACCCAAATTCATTTAATACAAAATCAACTTAAAAGAAAAGTTTAAGTATTATTTTTTTGATTTCTATTTATTATTTAAATTCTTCTCATAATAATAATTAATATAAATTAAGTTATAAATGTCAAAAGAGGTACAAGGTTTATTGAAGACTTATTTACAAGTAGAAAAAGAAGCCTAATAGATCAAAGATAAGTAGATAAAATTAGCAAAAGTAATGGAATCTAGTAAATAAGAATTTAGCGAATTCCTGAAATAGGTCCTCATCCTTAAAAGTAATCATAAAGCAAAGTTAAGGAATAAGTTTCAGTTCTAAAATAGAAAAGAATTCAATTGGAAAAAGAATCAAATAAAATATCTTAGGAGCATGATTATATGTAGTAAATTCTTTAAAATGAATTAAAGAAATAATTAGCTCCTTCTTAAAAGCATAATGATATATTATTAAATTTAGAAAAAGTAGCCTAAGAAACTTAATTTACATATTTAAAGTTTAGAACAGAAAAGTTTATGCAAAAATTGATGAAGATCTTTTCAATTTTTTCTATAAAGCAAGAATTTCTTTAGAAAGTAAAGAAATAATAATATAAATCAAAAGAAGAGATACAATAATATTTAGAGTTTAGAAATTTCTAATTACAAAAGTAAGCTTTTAATAATTGGAAAAAGTTTTATTTATACTCAAAGGAACAAAGAAGATTGAAAGAAGAATAGCAATAAAAAAAGTATGAAATGGGATAAAATGTAAAAAATAATAATAAAATTTTAGTAATTGGCTTTAGAATTTAATAATTTTTGTTTGACAAATAAATGTTTTAAAGCACTTAAGTAATATGTTAAAATGAATAAAATAACATAATAATTTGAAACAGATTAAAATCAAATTAAAGTTAAAGTCAATAATTTCTTAAATCAAATGTAAAAATAAATATCTGATGCTTTGGAAAAAGAGAAAGAAGAAATTCAATTAATAAAATAATCAAATTTGATAAATGATGAAGAATTGACTATATCTAATTCATAAAAATCAATATAATCAGAGAAAGAAGAGCAAATTGATTTAAATTAAGAAGAAATACTTTAATCATATGAAAATGAATTTTTATAGCATTCAAATGAGGAATAAATGTAATTAACAATATAACCCATAAAACATCCTGAAATATAGTAAATTAATTAATAGATATAAAGTACAAATTTAAAAGATGATTAATTGGATTTTATACCTAATAAATAAAATAATTAAATAAATGGATATTCAATAACAAAAGAAAATAGTCAACCTCCTTTACCAATAAATCCTTGGAAATAAAAATAAATCTCTTCTATATAAAATATGGTTGATGATAATGAATAATCAATATAGAGATAAAATAGTCCTCAAAATATGTCATAATAAAGTTATTCTAGACAAAGATCAGTAGATAAAAAAAATAATTATGCAAAAGAATTAGAAGATAAAGCTAAAAAAAGAAAAGAAATGAATGAAATCATTAAAAAAAAACATGAAGATAAACGAAAATAAAAAGAACTAGAAAAATAACAATAAGAACAATAAAGATAATTGGAAATAAAAAAATAAAAAGAAGAAGAATATAATAGAATTTAAGAAAAAAAGAAAAGAGAATTAGAATTAAAATAAAAACAAGAATAGGAAAAATTTGAACAAGAATATAAAACTGAAATTGCAATTAAACATTACGAAAAGAGTTTATAAAAATATCAAATATTTATTCCTATTTTAAAATTACATTAATAATATTACAAAAATAAATAGAGAGCTGAAAATCATTATGAAAATAGTTTAAAATAAAACTTATTCTATTTACTAAAAAAAATAAAATAAATATGTGATGATTAAAGAGAATATGAAGAATAAATTAGAATTAATATATCTAATAATCATTATGAAAGAAATTTAAAATTAAAAGCAATATTTAGTCTAAAATCTTTGGCAAATATTCAAAATACTAAATTAAAGGATGCTCTACAAATAAGAGAAAAGTACATGAAAAGAAATATAATGACTGCTTGGTATATTTAATTACCAGAAATGAGAGCCGAAAATGTAAAATTGGAAAGAGTTTCTGAAAGATTAGTTAATGATTTTAGAAAAGTAAAAATTAATAAAAATTTAGGCGATTCTTTAAAAATAGTTTTTTTCTGAATGGAAAAATGTTGTAAGAGAAAATATAGGTTAAAGGATTAGAGAGTAAAATAAATAGGAGATGTGGTAAAAAGTAAATTAATGGCTTTAAGAATTTGATGACGATAAAATAGAATGAATAATATATTTAACTTTATCTACATATTTATAAAATCATTAAATATTGAATGGTATAATTAGAAGATTCATGTAAAATTATATAAATAAATTTGTTTATGGAGCTAGAAAAATTAATCAAATAAGATATTAAAAATTATCATCCGAAAATAAAATAAGCTCATTAATAATAGACTTTTTAAATTGAGTTCAAATAAATTTTATAAAATTTAGAAGAGTAAATCTCATAAGTTTTTTAAAACTCTTCTTGTTTTGAGAAAGAAAACAACAAGAGCAACAGATTTATGGCAATAGTTGTAAAATGAAACTCCTATAAAAATTTATAATAATATATTTTCTAAAAAATGAATTAGATATTAATAGATTAGATTAATGTAAAAATGCAGACATCTTTTGCTAATTAAGATGAAAAATAAATTAGAAAAAATTAGTGAAGATTGATCAAATGTTCGATTTTTTTGGAATTAAAATAATAATGGGATATATAAAAATGCCTCATTTAGAAGATTACTTTAATGAACAATAGTTATTTTAATTTAAGATATTTGAATACTTTAAGGAAGGAAGATTTGAGTGTTTAGATTAATGGAGTAATTTTACTGGTGAAAATCTATTAAAAATATAAATAAAGTAAAGCCAATTCATGAATTTTAAACAATTGGAGAATGTAAAAAAATTTGAAAAAGTTTAAAAAATATACAAGCTCCAAGAAAATATCTAATATTATAAATAAATACAGAATTTAAGGTAGATTCAATAATAAATTGTTAATAAATAATACTTTGTGATCCAATAAATAAATTAATAGTTTGGTAATACTTTTGTCATAATATTTATGAAGAGAAAGTAGGACTTTAAATTATTTATGTTTTATAATAATGCAAAGATAACAATCACACTTTGTATATTTATGATAATATTCTTAATTTAGAGTAAATTAGCTTTCTAAAAATAAAACTATAGATTTAATGTGTAAGTATGATTGATAATTAATTAACAAATTAAATACCGTAAGTTCCACTTTACCTTAATTTTATGTCAATAATTAAAGAATAAAATTTAATTTTTGCTTTTACATGCGGTTAATTGATTTAATAATAAATTTTTGTTTATAATCAATATAAAGAAACTATGTTATTAAATTGTATTAATGATTGGATAATAAGAGATAATAATATGAAATTCTTATTAAATATAATCAAAAATAAAAGGATTATAAAATTAATAGACTTATCGAATAATTTCGTTTAGGATTGGCTTAAGAATTATTAAAGAATAAGATTACATAGATAAAGAATGTTACTACTTTATTACATAAATAGAAAGTAATAAATTGTAGCATTAGGAACATAAATAATTGGTGATTATGGTTTAGGTACTAAAATAAATTAAAAATCATTATTTCATATTCCATAAACCTTGTTCAGAAATATCAGGTATATTAGTTATTCTGTGTGTATGTGATTGTTTTTATTTATTTGATTAAAACACATAAGTTTATATAATAAATATAGAAGATATTACAAAAGCTTAATATAAATCAATTGAATAATTCAATAAGCAAATATATCATTAAGCTTTCTAAAAGAAACCTGGTTTGATGTATGAAAATGTAGATAAAAGTAAATCAGTTTAATATGCTAAATAAGTAGAAATAGAATGAATAATCTATTAAATATTTGATTAATATATATATAAGAATATTTACATTAAATTATCAATTAATTTCTTTGCTATTTGTATAATTAGGGGATGAAGAGAGACATGGAGTTTATGAATTAATAGCAGTAGATTATGTAAGAGTGTGATTATGTTTATGTTTACTTAAATTAGTTGATTAATTAGTTTTTAAAGTTAATNATATACAAGCTCCAAGAAAATATCTAATATTATAAATAAATACAGAATTTAAGGTAGATTCAATAATAAATTGTTAATAAATAATACTTTGTGATCCAATAAATAAATTAATAGTTTGGTAATACTTTTGTCATAATATTTATGAAGAGAAAGTAGGACTTTAAATTATTTATGTTTTATAATAATGCAAAGATAACAATCACACTTTGTATATTTATGATAATATTCTTAATTTAGAGTAAATTAGCTTTCTAAAAATAAAACTATAGATTTAATGTGTAAGTATGATTGATAATTAATTAACAAATTAAATACCGTAAGTTCCACTTTACCTTAATTTTATGTCAATAATTAAAGAATAAAATTTAATTTTTGCTTTTACATGCGGTTAATTGATTTAATAATAAATTTTTGTTTATAATCAATATAAAGAAACTATGTTATTAAATTGTATTAATGATTGGATAATAAGAGATAATAATATGAAATTCTTATTAAATATAATCAAAAATAAAAGGATTATAAAATTAATAGACTTATCGAATAATTTCGTTTAGGATTGGCTTAAGAATTATTAAAGAATAAGATTACATAGATAAAGAATGTTACTACTTTATTACATAAATAGAAAGTAATAAATTGTAGCATTAGGAACATAAATAATTGGTGATTATGGTTTAGGTACTAAAATAAATTAAAAATCATTATTTCATATTCCATAAACCTTGTTCAGAAATATCAGGTATATTAGTTATTCTGTGTGTATGTGATTGTTTTTATTTATTTGATTAAAACACATAAGTTTATATAATAAATATAGAAGATATTACAAAAGCTTAATATAAATCAATTGAATAATTCAATAAGCAAATATATCATTAAGCTTTCTAAAAGAAACCTGGTTTGATGTATGAAAATGTAGATAAAAGTAAATCAGTTTAATATGCTAAATAAGTAGAAATAGAATGAATAATCTATTAAATATTTGATTAATATATATATAAGAATATTTACATTAAATTATCAATTAATTTCTTTGCTATTTGTATAATTAGGGGATGAAGAGAGACATGGAGTTTATGAATTAATAGCAGTAGATTATGTAAGAGTGTGATTATGTTTATGTTTACTTAAATTAGTTGATTAATTAGTTTTTAAAGTTAATACACGAGCCGTTAAAGGAAGAGGTCGTAAATATTCAAGTCTTCTTTTTTTAGAACATAATTTCTTTAAAAATTATTCTTTAAATGCTCTTAATGGTATGTTACTAAATTTATCATATTTAGGAATGAATCCTAATTTTGGTGTTTAATATAAATCTTATCCAAATAATGTAGCTGTTGCATCTTTTTCTGGATCACTCTAATATTTTTATACATATATATAATTCTTTTCTTCAATCAATGTTCCTATATCAATTTTATCTTCAGATTCTTTACTTTTTATTTTCATTGGATTATTTTTTATCTCTATGTATTATTTTACTTCACTAAAATTAGGTTTTCCAATTCCTGTTAGACTTTCCATATTTTTTGATTAAAATATTTTTCTAAATTTACTTTTCTTTAAATATTCTTCTCTAACCCATTATTTACATTCTTCAGGAAATTTTTATAAAAATTCATGTTTATGAATCACCATAACTGTAGCCTCATTTGTTAAAACTATTGAATTATATTCACAACATCCATCCTCATTCATAACAATCTCTTCTCCTAATAATTATCCTTTAGCTATTAAAATTTAATAATACTAGTACTTAAAATACAAATTTTAGTCATTTAATCATTAATTAATTTCTCTATTAATATATCTCCATATTAAATCAAATAAAAAGACTTTTTTGGATGTCCATCTACTGTTAATATAAAATTTTTTTAAAATTATTCAACATCAAAACTATATGCTAAATGTTCTAATTATTTAGATGAATAATCCCCTTAAACAGGAAATTTTGTGAATATTAAACTTTTCTTTTCTTTCATCTATTATATGAATTGCTGTCGAATTAAATCAAAATCATCTTTTTTCAAAATCAATAAAAATAAATCTTAAGTTTGAGCACAAGCTGTTAATGCTCTTGGAACATTCTCTAATAAAGCTCTATCTCCAAATCCTTCTCCTCTTTTTAATATTCTAATTGTTTCTCCATACTTCTCGCTTAAAAATTAAATTTCTTATTGTGTTATTTATACTCTTTCATTAGTTTAACCCTGAATTATGTTTCCCTTCATTTTATCAGCAAACTTTTTTGAATATGCCAATTATTTGAAAAAGTTTGTCCCAGTAGCATTAGCACTTATTGTTTTCCTTTATCAATCATAATTATATATATACTGAGGTATAAGAGGAACAGGTTTTGGCAATTAATTTTGTTAGACTGAAGGTGTTTTTTAAATTTCAGGAGGTCTGTCAATCACTTATTATATTTATTAAGGTCGAGCTTTGATCAAAGCTACTTTACCATTAAATATTATATATAATTTGTCGTTTGACTTGTCTCCCTCTTTGAATATTACTTCTCCTCCTTTGAAATGTTCCATTCGGAATTTTCCGCATAACTAATTATGGGTATTTTATGTACATAAAGGAGACTTTCCCTCTATGTTCCCTTAAGATTCTTCTCTATGAATGAGTTAAAATATTATAACTGCTGTAATTTGGAATAAATAATCTAAAGGTTATCAATAGTTGGGTTTAGATGATTATTCAACAGTTTTTGTAGATTTAGATTCTAAATTATGTTTATACTATATATACCTCATTCATAGGATGATAAATTTTTAATTAAATATGTAAGAATCAGTATCGGCTTATCTGAAAACTGAACCAGATTCACTTAAAGACCATCCATCAAGTAAATTTAGACCAAATATTATATAAAACAACCAACGAATTATAAATGGTAAGAAAGTTACATGCTTGAACATTAAAAAATAAACCCAATAAAATTAAAAAGATGCGTGGAAATAAATGTTTGGCAATTTTTTACATGATGTAAGTTTAAAATAAAAAAAGAAACAATTTTCACCAGACACATAAGAAGTACATAATTTTTACATTATTATAGCACCTTTAGGATCCATTAGTAAATGAAATTCCTATTCTACTTCCTTGTACTAATAGGTAATTCAAGTTAGAGTTCTACAAATATCTTGAAGGAGAATAATCAATTTAAGAATTAATGAAAACCATTAATTTTCCTCATGTTCATGCAGTATTTCTATTAAATCTATTCTAAACTAGATGTAAATTTAGGATTCTAAAATTCATCAGAGAAAATTGTCAATTGTACAAAAAATCAAAAAATTTAAGAATTATGGATACACTAAAAATAATGAATCTACTCCTTTATTAGATATTAATAGTTCTACTAGACAACTTAAAGCACATTAAATCCATCTTGTTGATCAAAGGAGATTTACTGAAGCTGGAAAATTATTGGATATTTTTAAGACAAAAATAAACAAAAAGATTTAGGTTTTGAGAGACTTTGTTTAATCAAGAGTACTTTTTAATTTTAATTTTTTTTAGATTGATTTACGCAAATCTTTAAACAAAGAACAAAGAGAAGAAGAAATACGAAATATTCATTTCATTAAAACATTCTTTGATATCACTAATGATTATAATTAACATATTCAGTAACAATAAGATGAACTTTAAGATGATGCTCAATTTTATAAAAAATTAATACCTTGTTAACGCAAATTAAAATAATTATTAGTAAATTATGATAATGTATAACCAATCGTTAAACATTAAGAAAAACATTTTGACAAATTTGATTATCCTTCATTAGGTATGTTAAAAAATTAAATGAATTAATATTCTAAAGATTATTTAATGGAATTAGAATAGCAAAAATAAATTTAATTTAAATTAGCTTTAAACCAAGTAAGAAAGCTATTAGAATAACAAAATATTAAATTTTAATCTGAATTAAGAAAATCTAATATTAAAAGTAATTAGAATTCTAAATCCTAATCTCCCCTTTTAATTAAATAGCGATAGGATTATTTATTATAAAATAAAGTTAAATTATCTGCTGATTGTGCATTAGATGTTGTAGTAGCTACTCCTAAACATCATCGTAAATATCAATCAATTTGTTGTTTGAAGGATTCTATTTCTGATCCTAGAAAAAGAAAGTAATATGAAATTACAAAAAAACCTTTTTACCTTTTTAGTAAATAAATAGAGGGAAATAAAAATTAAAAAAATTAAAAAGGTTTGATTACAAATTTTGATGTTAAACTATATGATTATATTCACAATAGAAATATATATACATTAAATAAGCAGTATAATAATAAAACTTATTTTAGAGTTAAGGAGATGACTTAGAAATTTCATACAATGGTTGAAAGTGAACATGAATAAAAATTAAATGAAAAATTAGATACACATTTAAATCAATTAAAAAATAGAAAATTGAAATTCCGTTAAAATGGATCTTTAGAAACATAAAAAAGAGTACAAACTTAAAGTTAGCCAGATGAAATTTCAGATGATTAATCATTATAATCAATATATGAAGTAAACCTTGATGCTTTATATAATTAATCTAATTAATTGACAAAAAAGTTAAGAGAAAAAAATGATGCTGGTTTTGCTAAAAGAATAAAACAATTGATAAGATTAGAGGAAGTGAATTAGTAATTGAAAATATTTATTATTTAGGTAATGCCTGAAAACAAATTTGTAGAAATTAAACAAATCTTAGAATTCTCTAAATAATTGATAATATGTTTGTGTATAGTCTATTTATTATAAAAGTTAGTTAGTTGCTTAATAAATTTTAAATTATATCTAATTAAAATGACAAACAGAGGTATGGATGCTCCTCCTTTAAATGAGGATGAATTGAATGAAGTTTATAATTGGGTTGATACTATACCTTTATCAAGACCAAAGAGACATATAGGAAGAGATTTTGCAGATGGAGTTTTAATGGCTGAAATTGTTTAACATTATATACCTAGAATAGTTGATATTCATAATTATAGTCTAGCTCACTCTGTTTAACAAAAATAATACAATTGGAATACTTTAAATACAAAAGTAATTATAATATTCTAAATTCTAGGTTTTTAGAAAGATGGGTTTCTAAATTACTTAAAAAGATATTGATGCTGTAATTTCAGTTGTACCTGAGGCAGTAGAAAGAATTCTTAAAGTTGTATAAGTTAAAATATCAATGTTTTTGGATAACAATGAACAAAATTAGATTCATTAATAAGAGTAACCGATTGAAATTCAGCAAAATTAAAATAAAGTTAACAATAAATAAGTACCTAATAACAAATCTAACGAAAAAGATTTAATTATTTAAGATTAGAAAGAAACCATAGAGATTCTAGAACTTAAAATATAAAAATTAGAATAACTTGTAAAATTAAAGGATAGTAAAATTTAATAGTTAATGCAGAAACTCTAATAAGCAGGAATAAAATGATATAGTTACTATATATATCATTCACATAAATTTTAGAAATAGCTATTCTCGATATTATTCTCACTAGAATCACTTTTTCCATCATACTTTTCGTTACTTAATTGATATTAATTTCTTTTAATGTTTTCTTTGATTTCTTCTTCATCTGAAGAAGAGAATGCTTATGATTAACCTTTCATCTTCTAAAATATTGACATTCTTTATTTTTTTAGAGGTTCTTACTTCTCCAAGTTTTTAGTTATTAATGGAGAACTTTATGGAGTAGTATTTGGAGTTCTTCTTTATTTTATTGAATTCATTTCTATACTCATTTATTGAATAGTATTTCTTGTTGATTCTTTATTATCATTTACATCATTATTTGATGTAGTATTGAATGACATTGTGCTGGATTTATTCACTCTTCTCTTAGGTTTAATATAAAACTACTCTTATTTTTCTAAAGGGTCTGTTTTCATTTATATACCCAAGGATTTTAAATATACTACTATTAATTACTCTTTTTTTATCCATTCATTTTCTGGGTGTTGATTACTCAATATGACTAATTCAAAAGACTCGTCAGATTATTAATCACAAGTATATAAATTTTGTGCATCTCTGAAATTTAAATTTTGCGATATGTCATTTTTATCTGTCACATTTGTACATTCTTAAGTATTAAATGTAGTTTCTGATGATTAAAATTAACCTAATTTCATTAACTGTTAAACAAGAAAATGATGATTGAATTTATATATTTATTATTAATATCATATATTATCTTAATCAATTTTGATTTAGATTTAAAGGATGATCATAACTTAATTGAAAATTTATCAAATAAATATATCAGCTTTTATTCATTATTGATTAATTATAAATATTTTATTAAAACAATTGACTAATACAATATATAAATGAAGATTAGCTTCAATTTATTTTTATGTAATATATTATTTTTATTAAATAAATTTAGACCTTAAAAAATAACAGTAATATTTTTAATTGCTAAAAAATTTTAAATCTTTTCAATCTCTCTATTATAATTAGTAGTAAATAAAAAACATAACTTATAGAAAAGAAAATCATTTTCAAGAAACATTTATTTTCTTAAACTTTGTTTTTATCTCTAAATCATTTTTTATTTGTTTGAACAACCTTTTATTTTAAAGTTTTTTAATAAATTTAGCAACTATTCATGCAAACCTTTATTCTTTGACTCTTCTATTTATTACTTATTGTCATATTTAAATTCTATTTATGACTTTTTTTGATTTTATAATGAATTAAATTGTAATTATAATTTTCTTCCTATGCTTACTGTTTATATAAAAAAAAATAATTAATTGAAATTATTATTTGAGTGAATTATATCTTATATTCTTAATCTTCTTAAAAATTTTTTTTATCACTTTCTTTTCTATTTCATCTAATTATTTTTAAATAAGACTAATTAAAATCTCCTTTTCTTCTTATTTTCTAAACTTTCTTCTTTTTCATATTGTCAAAGTTATCTATGCAACTCTATTAATAATATTTTTTAATCATAATCTCTTTATTAAATGTATTTATATTAAAAAAATTAGTTATTGAAAAAAGGATTTTAGTTATAGAAATGATAAATATAGTTTTAAGAAGATTACAAAAAATAAATAGTGATTTTCTTATAATAATGGTTCTTGATAAGTTGAGATTTATATTATAATTAATTTTGCGCGACGTTAAATATTTTAACGAATAAATTATGGAAATTAAATACAACAGATCGCTTAGTGGTGTACCAGAAAATCAATAATAATAACCTTGTAGAAGAACAACTAAAACCTACATAGAAAACAGAGAACCTATAAGAAGGAACTTAACATTATTGTATAATGAAGGTAAAATGATATCATATTGAATTAAGACACCTAATAAATTAATAAGTCTATGTTAAATAGTAATAATGATTTAAGAAGAAAGATGGTCAATTAAGAAAGAGTAAAGAGATCTTTGAATTAAGATGTACTAGAAGATAAAGAAAATGTGCCATAACATAAAGGAGTGACAAATAAAATTTATACTCTCCCTTAAGAATTATCTAATATCAGTCTTAAATAGAAATTCGATCATACTATTTTAGAGAATTAAAATATTTAAAAATGGTATACAGAAGAAATCTTTTTCTATTTAAAGGAATAAGAAGTATTTAATTATAAAATTATATTAGAAAAAATCCACTCCTTTAGAATGGTTGAAAAATCACTCTATTCCAAGTAATTTAAGAGCAAAAATGATTGATTGGATGGTAGAAGTTTTATGTTCATATAAATGCACAGATTAAACTTTTTTTGTTGCAGTAAGAACTATGGACTTTTATTTTGCAAAAAGTGAAAAATAATTAGAAGTATCAGATTTACATCTTAGTGGTGTAACATCAATGTTCATTGCAGCTAAATATGAAGAAATTCATCCTATGAAATTATCTGTTGTATATGAGAAAATTGCTCATAAAAAATTATCAACTGATTAAATAAAAAAGAAAGAGAGTGATATTTTATAAACTATCGGTTTTGATTTAGTTGGTGGTACACTCTATGATATGTATAATCTTATTCTAACAAACTGTTTTATTGAATAAAAACTATAAGAGAAAAACTACAAATATTTAAAAAAATTATGTTTGTATCTCTCTAAAATGGTTTTGTATGATTATGAAATTTGTGGTAAATCTAATTATACTTTATTGGGTGCTGCTTTAATTTTTGTAGCTTTCAAAATTGTAGAACAATTAGATTCTACTTTTAATGCTGATAGTTAAGTATTAAATTTTATTAATTTATAGATTAAAGATATTGCTTAAATTATTTAAATTGATTAAGATTAGTTAATAGAAACAGCAGCTAAAGTCTTAAATTTAGCTAAGAACTTTGAAAAGCATTTTCCTAATTTGGAAAATTTAAAAAAATTTAATGGATTTTAGTTAGAAGATGATGATTAATGATCTAAATATATGTATATTACTTTTATTAATTATATGTGGCAAACAAAAAATTATATCTAATGTACTTCTATATTTAATAAATCAATCAGCTTTCTTAGTGCTTTCAGTGGTATGTTTCTCACCCTTTCCTTTTGTTGAAACTTTAGCAGATGCCTTTCTTGCTAACAATTATTTTCTGTCTTCATTAAGGTAGGGTTTTGTGATAATACATTATGATGGTCTTATTGGGATTTAATATGGCATTCCTTAAATTAAATTATTAATTTACCATTAGCTTTTGTTCTTGTGAGTTTCTCTATTTAAATAACCCATCTCTTTCTGTAAACTGATGAAACCTTACCCTTTGTTCCTTTATGTGTGCCTATTCTCAATTTTATTATTATACCCCTAACAACTGTGACTTCATCATCTTTTCTAACAGGTAATGCTCTAACATTGTATTTCTTTCTTAAATCCTTTGAAAGATGTGCACTCATTAATTTATATCTAATGTTAGATGGTGCTCCCAAATGGGCTTTTCTGCCCTTTCTTCTTTAACTTGAAACTTCGACATGGGTTTTCATTTGAAAAAGATTTAATTAAAAATAAATTTTTTGTTTTTTTCTAAGTAATTTCATCAAATATATTAAAATTCAATCAATTCTTTCAAACTAAAATACCTAAACTTTATTGCACTATTTGTTATCTTAATGATCCAAAAATTAAAGTTGCTTTTCTGCAATTAAATTAATTTCCAATATACATTTAATTATACAGAAAAAGTAGTTAAAAATAATATAAAAATTATTTAAATAACCTCTATTACTTTTTATAAATTACTACTTTAGATCTATCCAAGAGTACTCAATTCTATTGATTTAATTCTTATAATATATCATGTTTATATAATTATTTTTCAGATAAAATTTCCAAATTATTAAAGTACTTTCAGAAAATATTAAGGAAAACTTAAAAAAATAACTAATAAATAAAAAATCTGGAAATTCATCTCTTATTCTATATTACTTTCAATTGATTTATTCAAGTCAATCAATTAGATAATATTTCTAAATCTATTATGGATTGGATTATGTTTAATTAATCCAATTAATTTTTAACTAGCCAATAAAAAAAGAGTTCAATATGGTTCTAAAATTTTAGATTTATTGAATGAAACCTAAAAGAATCAATAAAGATAAGAACTAATTGGCTATTTGAAACAAAGATATTAATGATAGTCATTAATTATGAATTTTAATTGAACTCAATAAATTAGTAATAAAATCATTATTTAGTTTAAACAAAAAAAGTAAAGGAAAAGCATGTATAGAAAAGAACCATGTTTAAAAGGGATTTTAATGTAAATTAATTAATCCTAAATGAAAATAAAATTCATGCACCAAAGCCATAGAGGGTTCTTCCTTATCTCTTTAATGAATAAACAACATCCATAACAGTGACAGTCTTTCTTCTAGCATGTTCAGTATATGTGATGGCATCTCTAACAACGTTCTCCAAAAAGCTCTTTAAAACATTTCTTGAGTCATCATAAAGGAATGAAGAAATTCTTTTGACTCCTCCTCTTCTAGCTAATCTTCTAATAGCAGGTTTTGTTATTCCTTCAATTGAAGCTTTGTTTGGTTTTCTAGCATGTCTTTTAGCGCTAACTTTTCCAATTCCCTTTCCTGATTTTCCAGCCATGTTTCTTTATTTTGAATTATAATTATTATTATTAAAAAATGGAGCTTGTATATGGGATCAAAATCCAAATGATGCCAAAATTAACCAATCAAATTTTTCTTAAAAAATTCATTTTTATCAAGTCGAATAATAAATTATATGCGCCATTTTTTCTTTTATTTAATATATTCAAATAAATCCCAATAATAATTCTCCTTCCTTTAATAATTTTTATAAATTTTAAAAAATTCATCATCTCTCTTCCTTCTCAAAAAATTGTGGATTAAATTAATTATGATCAATTTAAAATAATTATATTGAAATTTTAAGAGTAATAAATTATTTTCAAGCCAATCCTTTTGTCTTTTAATTTTCATAACAATGAATATTTATAGTCATCATATTTATTAAATACTAAAGAATAGATCTTATTAAATAAATTTATGAAAACTCATTATTTGAAAATAGTAACAAGATATTTGAACATGTTATTATTGACTAAATTTATATTCGATACGATCTTTTATTTTAATATGAAAGTTTTGGGATCAATTTTTTTGATAAATTAAAATTTTTAGCTTATCTTGAACAGCAAGATAAAATTATAGAAGTTTTTTTAAAAAGAATATAGTATTTATTAATGATATTCTTATTAAAAAGTAATGTGTTCATCTTTTGATAAAATTATGGATTAGATCAAAACTTAGATTTGATAAATATTTCTACAATTTAAAAATAAAAAATTCAAGTTTTTTACGAAAGATAAATGTTTCAAAAGATAACTATTCAATATGATTAAATAATGAAAAGGGAATATATAGTTTAAGAATAATGATATAAGAGAAACTTATGGAGGAAATTTTAGAATAAAATAAAAATAAAATATCATTTAAATTTTTATAAAATCTTTGAATAATTTGATTGTTATTCTTTTTAAGATTAAGAAAAGGAATTAGTCTAATATTTTCAAGAATCTAATATAAAGAAACTATGTAGAATATGTAGAATGGCTTAATTACTAATTAATAAATACTGATAAAATTAAATGATACTCATACTAATCCTCTTTCTTTCATAACTTCCAACATAGTTTTACCAATTTAAGCTGGTGATTTCACAACTCTAATTCCAGCTTATTCTAGAGCTCTAATTTTTTCTGGTGCACTTCCCTTGCCCTCTAAAGAATGAATAAAATTGTAAAATTACTTGATACAATAGCTCCTGCATGTCCCATTCTTCTTTCAGGTGGTGCAGTGATACCAGCAATGAAACCAACAACTGGTTTATTTTTTGGATTATTATTTTTAATCCATTCAGCAGCCATTTCTTCATTTTCTCCTCCTATTTCTCCAATCATAACAATTCCTAGAAATGAATTAAGATCTTACCTTCAGTTTCTGGATCAACCATAAATCTCTCTAAAACATCAATAAAATTGGTTCCATTAAATGGATCACCACCAATTCCAACAACTGTAGATTATCCTAATCCAGCTCTTGTTGTTTAATCAACAGCTTCATAAGTAAGTGTACCAGATCTTGAGACAATTCCAATTTTTCCATTTTAATGAATGTATCCAGGCATGATACCAATTTTACATTCATTTGGTTTAATAATTCCTGGACAATTAGGCTAAAATATAACAAATATAATCATACACCAATAACACGAGTGACTGATTAAGATCTTAAAGCATGTTTAACTTTAATCATATCATGTTATGGGATTCCATCTGTAATAACAACCTTTACATATTAATAGTATATGTACCACTAAACCAATTTAAGCTTCAATTGCTTCAATTATAGCTGCTGCAGCTGTAGGAGGAGGAACATAAATAACTGAGGCATCACATCCTGTGCTTTGTTTAGCTTCTTAACAATTCTTAAATACAGGTAATCCAAGATGAGTACTTCCAGCCTCTAACTTATATTTTTAATTTTTACTCTTTGGTGATACTCCACCAACCATTTTTGTAAAATAATTTTAAGCTTGTTCTGTTTAGAAAGTACCCTATTATTCATGATCAAATATTACCTAATTACCAGTAATACCTTAACAGATCACCTTTGTATGTTTGTTCACCCAAACATAAGGAGTTGTTGTTGATGAAAATGCACGAAAGATTTGTCTGCCAATCATTTATTTTATTTAATCAATTTTTATTAAACTTTTATTAACTATAATCCCTATTTACTACTTCTTCACTTTCTATTCTAACTTTATTACTAATTCTTTTAATCCTTCTCTTTTTTACACTATTTTATTCACCTATTCTTATTTTAACTTTTTAATAAATGAAATAATATTAATCCTAACCATAAAAATCTCCTTCCAATATAGAAAAGACTAATACTTTTATTACTTAAGTTGATTCTATTAACAATTTCTATACAAATTAACATAGTTAACATAACCTAAATTTTAATCATATTCTCTCAATGCTTTAAAAAAGACAAGAGTTTTAAGAATAAGAATATAAAATTAAACTTGATTCTTTAGAAAAAAGAATTAAATAATTAATCTAAATTAGTTCCTAACTTACATAATAAAATACTAAACTTAAAATACAATACTCAGATCTAATCAAAGAATATGATATTATAAAAAACAGAATTATTAATTATGAAGATAACATCCTTAAGAAAAATTCAGAGTATTAATTCAATTTAGATGAACTAACTAAATTAAAAATTGAAAGAGAAAAAATAATTGGATTAACCAATAAATATCATGAAAGATCAAAAATTAGAAAAAAATAAGTTATTGAATAAGAAAATACTATAAATATTTTAAAAAAATAAGTGAATGATTTATAAAAGGCTAATCTCATTTTACTCTCTGAAAAATAAAATATATTATTGTAATCCTAATAAAACCATTAATTTTTAAATTAATAATAAAATATATTGTAAGAAGAAATTATAGCTAAAGCATTATAAATAGATTTATCTAATAAAGATGAAATTTAATAAATAATCAAGCATTTCTTGAATAATTATTCTAATCATCTTATCTAAATTAATAAGGAGACTAATTAATTAATTATTTTGATCTAAGAATATTTTGATATCAATTTAGATATCAATAATTAATCTCAATACAATAAACTCATAAAATAATTTGATTCCTTAATCATTAAATATAATTAGATGTTAGAATAAAAAACTAAATTTTAATAATAATTTAATATCTCTCCTTAAGACACTTTATTATTGAGTAATTATAATAATTAGAATTTTTACAATAATAATAATAATGTAAATAATACAATTTTTAGTAGTAAAAGAAACAGTTAAAACAATTTTTATCAAAATAATGTCAAATAAGATATAATTAGAGCCAGCAAGTATATTAAAATATAGTAAATTCATATGTTTCTTGCTTAAATGATTGAATCATTTATTATCTATATTTTTAGAGTTAGAAATCTCAATCATGAAATTCTAGGATCAGAGTAATTTAATAGTGAATATAAAACGAAATTTAAGAAAATTACATATGTCATAATAGCAATAATTAGAATGCTAAACAAAAAAAAATTTCATGATTATAACCCATTGATTTTAGTGTTACCCATAGAAGAGACTATTTATTATTTACTAAATACAATTAGAACTTAGTAGTAAATAATAGAAAAATTTTAAGAGTGATATATATTTCATCGTAATTATTCACTAATTTTTAAAAGTAACATATCAATATTTTTATGCAATCTCTAAACTATTTGATTCATTTGGTAATTTAATTAGACAGTATATTTTTATTAGGGGGATTGAGGTTGTACTAAATCAGCAAGTATTTTAAATTTATGCTCAATTTTTTTAATTTCACTTAAATATTTTCTTTTTGTTCCTGCCAATTGATAATTAAGAGATTTAGCTTTTTCAGAATCACAATTAATTAATTCTTCAAGAAATCGTTGTGTATTTTAGTTTTCATATAAATCAAGCTCTTCAATAAAAGTTTCTAATTCTAATAAATTTATAAATAATAATTTATTATTATTTTCTAGATTGATATTTTGAGTTTTAATTTTGTTAGTAATTTTTTACTTCACTTAACTGTTGATTACATAATCTAAATCGCATCTTAAACCATTCATTTCCTAGATTTAATAAAAATATACTTTATAAATATTTTTGTATTCTTATTGAATTTCCATTTTAACAGCATTCTTATTTTTTTTGAATGTATTTTCTATTTATAGAATTTCAGGACGTCTAGGTTAGGTTTTAGAATTTAAAATTTGATTGTCCATTTCAATCATTCTTTATTCTAGTTATTTTATTTGATTTGATAATTCAGAAGTATTTTGATTATAAGATTTGAGTTTTCCACAATTTTCAAAGTCATCTATTCTATTTTATAATAAGCTGATTTATTCTTGAATTTTATGAATATCTTCAAAACTTTTAATCTAAGTAATAAATCCATCCTATTCATATATAAGTTTATTGATATTATCTATGTTACAAATAGTTTTTACTCTCTAAAGTTGTAATTTTAGAATTGGATTCTGTTTCTTAATTCAGCTTTGCAGTGCTTAAAAATTGCATAATAGAAGATAAAAATTTAACGAATAATAATTATCAATTTGGTAAAATAAAGAGAGATAGTCAAATAAAGGTAGATCAGAAGAATATATTATAGATGGAAAATAGGATAATCTAGTATTTAAAAGAAAAATGGTTTTAGAAGATTAATTAGATAAGAGATAGAAAATGATTTAGAATTAATATTTAAAAACCAAAAATAGATGTTGAAAAAAATGTTATTATTAAATTTGTATGTCAAGATAAATGATATTTATGTTTATAATATATGTTTTGAATCAATTTACAACATTGCTAAGAGTTTAGATTAATTGATTCTCATTTACCTTTAAGATGAAAGTCACCAAATCTAATTTTATAATCATAAGTAAATAATACTTGCTTCTGGATTTTTTTCTAGCCATTTGACAGAAACCATTCCTCTTCCTTCACCTTCTAAAATGACATTACATGGTCTTTCAACATATTCGGTTATAATATCTGGCATAGTGGCAACAAGTATGCATAATGGATCTTAAATATCGTATCGATTATTTGTATTTTTCATTCCTTCATAAATTTCTTTGACAAATTTTCCTTTGACAGTTGTATCTTATTCAAATACTTTAGTTATCTAATTTTAATTAATAAAATACTGTAAATTCCGACACAGAGATGACTCCTTCATATGGTATTACTATCAATTTCTTAGCTAATACCTTAAAAACAAGATGAGCAGCTTCAGGGTCTGTATGTACATTATATTCAGCCACTCCATTATTCATGAAACCCAATCCTAAAATGTTACCACATAAACCAATTATTAATCCTATATTTTCTTCAAAATCTGCTGTCTTCATCATAGCACATGCTATATTAGTAAGAGCTCCTAAACTTATGATCACTAATTCATCTTTATATTTTAGAGCACTTTCTATCATAAAATCAACCGCATGTTCAGGCTAGAGTGGATATTAAGAAATGTTTAGCTCCTTTAAATATTTTTCCTAATGACCACTAATTCCATCATCACTAAAAAATTTAGAACTTAAAGTTATTTATTATTTCAAGTTTCTATCACATCCCTTATAAATTGGTATTGTAACTCCTGCAATCTTTTATACAATGGTAATATTTTTAATTCCATCATCTATAAAAGAGTTTCCACTAAAACTTTAGGTATTTTTTATACTTTATGCAAGTGATACCTATTATTTCAATATTTCTTTTAGTTGCTAAATCGAATGCTGTCAGTAAAGCATGAATATCATCACCACCAGAATCTGTATCTATTATCATTTTTGTTCTTTGCTTTAAGAGTTTCTCAGGAATACCAAATTAATGTTTGATGAATGAAGGAAGCGAAATCATTTATATATATTATTATTTTTTATACTAATCTAATTTTCCTTTGGAGTGAAGATTTTTGTTATCAAATTTAAATTTCTTTTCTTTGCTCTTTCGACACTCGATTTTGGTCTAAGTAATGTCTTTTTCATTACAACTACATCATTTATTCGATCCTTCTCTTAAATTATTGGTTTTATAAAATCCATCACAAAATTTATTTTATCTTCTATCACCAATTTCTGTTAATAAAAAGATTGCTTCTATGATAGATTTTTCACTTTAATCTAATTTTCATTACTGGTAAAAAGAACTCTTCTCAGTTTTTTCCCTCTATATAATGTATTTGAATTGCTGAAATTTTGGCAAGAAAGTAAATGCTGTAAATCAAGATCATATCCAGATATTATCCATGTTTATTGTTTCATATAATCCCAAACCAATATATGTATAAATTCAAAATAACATGCAGCACATAATTTTCTAGTTTCGCATCTCCAAACATTCAGTAAAAATTTTTTTAAATTTTATTATACTTCTAAATTTGATTACATTCCTTAAATCAAACATATGTATATACATTATTAACTCTATTTTAGACTTATATAGAGTAATTTGGTTTATTTTAATAACTCAATTTATTTAAAACATATTTATCCTTTAGTATTAATGTATCCACTTTCTATTTCTACATTCATACTTTAGATATCCATAAAAGTCAAATTTATTTCATTTTCTGCTTGCTGTAGTAATTTTATTTCTTTTGGAGATTATGTAAAATAAAAATCTTTTTAGCCTAGAATAGTCCATAAATCAATTATTCCAAAAATAGGTAAAAATTCATCTAAAGTAGTGCATGTACCATTATCTGTTTTTAGTGTTCCTTCCGTTTTGTATCTAATTTCTGAACGGGATTTTAAGTTGATTCTATTTATATCTAATGCTGTTGTAAACTAAGTGAGAATTCTTTTACTGTGAATAGCAGAAGGTAAACGAGAGCCTAACTATTTCATTAAATTAAAAAAAAATTAAATAATTTCATGTTTAGAGAAACATCATTCTCTAATTATTTTGAATAAAATAATTATTCAACAGTGTAATTATTATTACATGAAGCTAGATTTATATCATACTAAAAGCGAAATGCGCTGATGTAACTTAAAAAAACTAAATAGATGTATTAAAATTTTGTAAGGAAATCAAATTTTTACTTCTGAGATTAAATCTAATGAAAACTTAAATCCAAAATGGAATTAAACTTTTCAATTGAGCATGAGTGGAATAGAAATTATTGTTAATGATTAGAACATGACGATAGGTTCTCTTTCCTTAGATTTGAGAGAATTGTAATCAAACACATTAAATGAGTGGTACAGTTTCTCAGATAAGAAATAAATTACGGGCACTCTTAGATTGACTTTCTAATTCAATCAAAATAATAAAATACAAAAATGTCAAGAATAATTATAATGTCTATTTTCACAATTAGAAGTTAAACTTAAACAATAAAGAATAGCATCTCCAACTGTTGGAAGTGTCTAATTAATGTAATAGTTTCTAACAAAACAAAAGCATAACAATAGTAATATTATCAATTCAGAATATTAGAATGGAAATGAATTTGAAGTTCATAACATTAAATAGTAAATGAATGAAATAAAATAATTAATTAATAAATTTTAATAACTATAAGCCTAAAAATCTAGAGTATATTAATAATAAAGTATTTTTTTATTTAAAAAACTCTAGAGATACTTAGCAAATAGAAGGAAATTAATGATTTATAACAATAAATTGCATAATCAAAAGAATCAGTTTAAAGCCAAATAGCATTATTAAAAATCATAAATGAAGAAGGCAATTATGGAATTACTAAAAAGTAATTAATTTTACAAAAATATAAAAAAAAACAGCAAGTTTTAATCACCTTAAAATAAAAATTAAATGAACATAAATTTGATAAAAGATAATCCTCTTTAGTTGTTTAAGCATATAAATATGAAGGAAGACCAAGGCAAAATAATAGTGAATTTTAAGTTAAATGAATCAATTTCTTTTTCTTTAATTATTTTTATAGTATTATTAATTAATTTATACAAATGGAGAAATTTAGAGCATATGCTGATTCTCATACAGGAATCAATTTATTTGTACCTGCCTTTGTTAATTAAAAGTTATCACCTTTAATTCTGCTCCTCCATATTGTAATTTAATTGATATTATGTGATATAGATCTTGGGATCCATATTGTTATTGGTTAGAATTCCTATTTTGATGATACTATTTTTATTACTCAAAATTTTGAATACTCTTAAAATAGATTCTCTAAATTAATTGATAGGAAAATTGATGTTGGTTACATGTGGATTTTTTAGCATTGAAAATTAAATACCAATATAAGATAAAGGTGGATAATTAATATTATCAAATCATTCTAGTCCCATTGATTGGATATTTTTTTTAGCTTAATCTTCGCCAAACTTTGCAACTTTTGTTGAAAGTGGTGATTAAATTAGATATTAAATTCTTTCTTTAAATTAAGTGATTAAGAATATATTCTAAATTAATATAGCATAAACAGGAACTGGATTAGAATTAAATGATATAATATTCTAAAATAAACCTACATTATTATTCTTTGAAGTATTTCAATAATATTATTTATAGGGATGTTAAACAAATTAGTTAGGAGTCTTATCACCACCAATATAAATGATAGCTGAATTACAAAAACTAGCATAATCTATAGTAAATAAAATTCTTATTTTAGAATATATATGTTTTAACTTATTCTGACAGATCTATTTTTACTCCCATTAATACTACTAGGAATGGATTTTGGCATTTTTTATTAATGTTAACAAACATTTGGAATAATTTAAGAGTTGTTAGCTAAGAATTTGAAACTTCCAAAGATTATTTGAAACTAATTACTAATTTTTATGAATGCGAAGGATTAAAAATAGTATTTTATTATTTTATATTAGATCAAATAAAAATACACTGTTTAAACAGATTTTTTAGCCTATTATTGGAGAACTTCTAAAGGAAATTATATTAAATAAGATTGAGTGTGATATGTTATTTATTTTAAAAAAAAAAGTTAATAATAAATGAATTCTAATTTTTTGAAATAGATTGAAGAAGAAAATAGAATTTTAGAATAGGAATTGCAAAACTTATTAAAGTAAAAAATATTTTCATTCTATTCAAAGTTAAAAAAGATAAAAAGTGGAAAAAGAATTTGAAGATCCTGAAGATGCTTGTCCAAATTTTAGAAGTGAAAAAGGAGATCTAAGTAAAATAGATGAAGAAACTGACGAAGAATAACCAAATTATATAGAACCATAAAGATTGATAGAATCACCATAAAAATTAGGTAGAAAAATTTTGAATATCAATTAGATTCTATTTTAGATAACTCACAAGATTCCATTGGCATTTATCTGGAGAAAAGAAGTAGTAGTACAAGAGAAACATTAAAATTTTTGGAAAGAGAAGTAAAAGAAAAAAATGCTTAGATTTAAGCTTTATAGATTGATTTAGCTAAAAAGTAAAAATATATAGATTTTCTTGAAAAAAATGGTTAAAAATAAAAAACCCCTTCAAATAAGGAAGCTAATTGTGAAGGATAATAATAAATATAAAAATAATGTAAAGAATGGGAGAAAAAATATTTTGAATGCAATAGCTAACTTAAAGAGAATAAAAAATATGCATAGAAATTATAAGAATTGAATCAATAATTATTACATAAATTAAAATAATTTGAATTTAATACAGAATTGAATTAATAAAAGAATGTAAACAATGAAATATATGAGGCAAATACAAATGTTTTGATAAAGTATATATAGTATGTTTAATTTTTAGATATGAATAAATAATAAAGACTCAACAAGAGTAAATTCAATAACAAGAGGATAGATACATAGCTTTGGAATCTAAATATGATAAATTAAAAGAAAATAGTGAGTAGTTTCTATTTAATTCTCGTGATTTAAAATATTAATATGAACATATGCTGAATACTCTGGAATCAATAGCAAATAGTTATTGAAAAAATTTATTGATTATTAATTTATTTATTTTAATATAGATTTATTATATAATTTATTAACCAATCAATGAAATTTTATTTATAAGAATATTATGAAAAAAAATTTAAAAACAATATTCTGAAATTTTTTAATTAAATAAATAAAATGTCATATAAAAAATAAAAATAATGAATAAGGGTACTTGGAGAGTAGATAATTAATAAATTACTTATATTATTATTTAATTTTAAAATAAAAATTAATGAACAATCAATAAGAACCATATGTTAGAAATAAAAGAGATTTAAAAGTTCCATACATTTCATGTTAAGATTACACAAATTTAGAATAAGCTTCAAAATTGATACCTGCTTTGAAGTAAATAAATTAGAGTGAGAGACATTTGGCAGATGCTGTAAATGCATATACATATATAATACGTAGTAACAATGATGATGATATACACAAAGTAATAAGTATAATTAATATAAATTAGTCAATAAAATATGGGATTTGGACATCAAGTAAAGAAAACAATGAGAAATTGAATACAAAATATATAGAAGCATAATAAGAAGGAATTCCAATTTATTTGTTTTTCAGTGTAGTAAGAAGTGGATAATTTGTTGGGGTNCAAGAGAAACATTAAAATTTTTGGAAAGAGAAGTAAAAGAAAAAAATGCTTAGATTTAAGCTTTATAGATTGATTTAGCTAAAAAGTAAAAATATATAGATTTTCTTGAAAAAAATGGTTAAAAATAAAAAACCCCTTCAAATAAGGAAGCTAATTGTGAAGGATAATAATAAATATAAAAATAATGTAAAGAATGGGAGAAAAAATATTTTGAATGCAATAGCTAACTTAAAGAGAATAAAAAATATGCATAGAAATTATAAGAATTGAATCAATAATTATTACATAAATTAAAATAATTTGAATTTAATACAGAATTGAATTAATAAAAGAATGTAAACAATGAAATATATGAGGCAAATACAAATGTTTTGATAAAGTATATATAGTATGTTTAATTTTTAGATATGAATAAATAATAAAGACTCAACAAGAGTAAATTCAATAACAAGAGGATAGATACATAGCTTTGGAATCTAAATATGATAAATTAAAAGAAAATAGTGAGTAGTTTCTATTTAATTCTCGTGATTTAAAATATTAATATGAACATATGCTGAATACTCTGGAATCAATAGCAAATAGTTATTGAAAAAATTTATTGATTATTAATTTATTTATTTTAATATAGATTTATTATATAATTTATTAACCAATCAATGAAATTTTATTTATAAGAATATTATGAAAAAAAATTTAAAAACAATATTCTGAAATTTTTTAATTAAATAAATAAAATGTCATATAAAAAATAAAAATAATGAATAAGGGTACTTGGAGAGTAGATAATTAATAAATTACTTATATTATTATTTAATTTTAAAATAAAAATTAATGAACAATCAATAAGAACCATATGTTAGAAATAAAAGAGATTTAAAAGTTCCATACATTTCATGTTAAGATTACACAAATTTAGAATAAGCTTCAAAATTGATACCTGCTTTGAAGTAAATAAATTAGAGTGAGAGACATTTGGCAGATGCTGTAAATGCATATACATATATAATACGTAGTAACAATGATGATGATATACACAAAGTAATAAGTATAATTAATATAAATTAGTCAATAAAATATGGGATTTGGACATCAAGTAAAGAAAACAATGAGAAATTGAATACAAAATATATAGAAGCATAATAAGAAGGAATTCCAATTTATTTGTTTTTCAGTGTAGTAAGAAGTGGATAATTTGTTGGGGTAGCAAAGTTGACATCTGGATACAAAGAAGAGAGTTTTCAATATTGGTGGGAAATAAAGAAATGGAAGGGACACTTCAACGTGTAATGGGTTTATGTAAAAGATGTGCCAAATAAACATTTTGAGCATTTAAAAAATAGGTTAGAAATATATATAACTATGAATAGTGATAATGTAGAAGTGACTAGATCAAGAGATGGAGTATTTTTGAATTGGGAAACTGGAAAAGAGATGATGAAAATATTTGAAGAATTTTCAGATAAAAAAAGTATATTGAATGATTTTACAGTAATTGATGAGAGAGAACAAGCATTGAGATAATACAAATATCAAATGTAATAGTAAAGAAATCAATAATAATACTATCCTTATTATCAATATCAATATTATGATTATCAACAATACCAATAGTACCCATAATAATATCAATAATATCAAAATTATTATTGGTAACAACCTTAGAAATGATTTTATATATCAAATATTGTTAAAGTTTCACCATGCACATAAACAATAAAATTTTATATAAATAAAAATGAATATGGAGAAAGCTTTCTATCTAAATGGGAAACCATTAATTAAACCTCAATTGTCAAATGATGAATAATTAAATGAAAGACTTGATAGAACTGGATACAAGATTGACGATTTAAATAGATTGAATGAAAAGCCTGTTTTACAAATAGTACTTATTCAATTTATTGATTAGATAGATCTTGATGGTCTTACATCAAGTTATTTGAATAACAATCCTTTATTTTAAATATTGAAATCATAAATTATGAATTGGAATGAAAAAGTAACACTTCATAGAGCTGAACAAATCAAATTATCAAATCCTTTAGTTTCTGATAATCTTTATCGTCAACTTAAAAATTCGCTATTAGAAATAGTTAGTACAAGGAATAAAATATAACAAAAAGATTTCCTTACCAAAGTATCAAACTGGTTCTTCTCTTAATTACCAAAATCTTAGACCGCTTCATTAAAATAATCTCTCCTAGATAAAAAAGATTCAGTAATTCATTTATTATATAATTAGACTCTTCATTTTATTCCTAATACATACAATGAAGATTAATATACCTCTGGTATTGAAGATTATGTTCTTAAACAGAGGATTTTTAAAGTAAATAAGCTGATCTTGAAAAATAAAAATTAATTCATAAAGACTACCAGGTGAACTTATGAATAATCCTGATCAAGAGACTGTTTAAAGTAATAGGATTATATCATCTAGATGTTTCAAAAGATTATTCAGTTCTGTGTTACCGATTATTTTTAAAAATTTTCTAAACTTTATTCATATATTAAAGAAAGCATTATTAAATTAATAATTAAATTATTGACAAATTAACCCTCAAAACATATAGTATTAAATAAGAATTAAATTCATAAGTAGAAAATATATATTTATTCAATTTATTTAGATTGGTGAAATTAAACAATTAAAAAATAGATTAGCATCAGCTAATAAATTTGTTCCAATCAATATTCTTTAGAAATCTATATTGATTCCTTAAGGACATGCTAATCCTTATAAAATACCTCTTCCAAAACCAGGAATTCTTTCAGCAAACCTTCCTGATGATTAAAAATAAAATAAAACTAAAAAAAAGAAAATAATAAAATGATTAAAATTATATTCTAAATCTAATGACTGAAAATATTTGTTATAGATTAAATTTACTGAAATTAATATATAAAATGTAATTTATATTAAGAAATTTTGTTATTTAAACTAATAATATTCTATAATAAATATAAATAGTTTTAATGTCTCAATCAAATAGTCTATCAGTACCTAAAGCTAAAACATCCCTTTTAAGCCCTTTAAAATTAATAGGTAATAAATATTAAAAGGTTTATGAATTTTATGTTATCAATGAAGAAGAAATTTTAAATATAACTTTGAACTTGTCTTCTAAAATTAAACTTGTGAATGCTATCTCTGAAGTTCTTTAATAATTATGCAAAGAACATCCATTAGATTAAAATGCGAATAATTATGATATTTATATTTCTAAAAAGAATGGTAAACCCAAAACTGATTTCCCATCTTTTCAAGCAGATTTATCATTAGAAGAAACTGGAAATAATAATTTTTCTTTAGTTCACATTGCATTCCAAGAATCGAAACCAAAAAGAAAATCAACTTTTGATATAACAAATCATTATAATTAAGGAATGCATAAAAATTAAAATGAAAATATTTAAGTCAAAAAGAAAAAGAATTGGCTTTTCAACTTTTTAGGATGCTTATGATTTTATTAGACTTTTTTTTAATATTTTTATTAATTGAATTTCTTATCACGCCTTTTAAGAATAAATTAGACCTCATTTAAATAATGAGCAATTATAAAAGAAGTATCTTCGTATATAATTTCATAAATTTGCAAGATAATTGTACAAGAATTCAATTAATTAAATTTTGTCAATAATTTAAGCTTTATTATATATTGATTTAAATTATTATAATTCAGCCATCTAAATTAGTTATTTTATCGATTTGATTGATTAATAAATAGATATTGTTTCTCAGAAAAAGCCATCTTAAAATAATTAATAGAATTTTTTATATTTTGTTTTAATCTAAGAAAAATTATGAGAAATTCAAAAACTCTTCTCTATATATTTTACTCATTTTCTAAAATAAATATATAAAGATTTTAATAAGATCTTAATAAAAAGTTTTAACAGAGAATAATAAAGTAGTGTAATGTATAATAATTGTCTTAGAAGAATTTAAGAATTTTAACTTTCTAATTAAGTGATAATAAATTTGATTTATGAGATTTCAATTAATTTCAATCATTTAATCAAACTTTTTTAAGGATTTAATGTTAATTAAAATAAAAATAAATAGATAATCATTATAAATAATATGTATTCAAAATTTCTTTACTCAAGAAGACTTGAACAAAAGACTTATGTGGATCATTTTCTAAAATTCTTAATTCCAATATCCAATTATAAGGTTGTATGTTTTTTTTAATCAAATACTGAAGAAGCAGGAGAATATGAAGTTTATGATATCAGAAAAACAGCTCCAATAGTTAAAAAGTAGATGAAGGAAATAATAATTATGAATGAACCCTTTGAATATTCAGATAGAGAAATAGGATTTTTCAATAATGATACATTATCTTTATGGATACTTGATTTTATGGATTCAAAAATAACAAATACAGAAATTACATTACCTAGTTAAAGATTAAGTAATTTTTTTACTCCAGAATTTTTAAACATCAATAGTGTAGTTTATGTAGATTAATGTTTAAGATTTAAATATTTTCAAGGAATATAAAGTTTTGTTACTTTAGAATAATTTCATGTTTTTGCAAGTGAAGATGCAACTTGTAATGAAAATAATTTTATTAGTTGGAATGTGGTCGAAAATAAAAAGATTGATGAATGTTAGATTAATGAATCTAATTATCTTATTTTTGAAGAACTATAAAAATAAAAGATAATTTTAATTTGTAAATAAGTATATATGGATGAGGATTTCACGTTTAGTTTATGGATACCAGGAATTAATCATTATAAATTTATAAATGTAAAATAATCTTTAAATGCAACTATAATAAAGCCTTTTGATAATCAAAACAAAATAATTATAAAAGAAGAATAGCCTGATGCTTCATTTATAAGTAAAAGAATATTGATAATTGCAAATCCAAATCATTAAGCTCATCCAATTTTAATTAATGTTGAATGTGATTAAGATTTAAATCTAAAAGATTTTAATTATGCACCTTATTAGATTGATTCAAAAGGATGCATATTGATAGAAAGTCCATGGTTAATTGGAAATGATTTAATTGTATCTTATTATACTCATACGAATATTACAATTGCTGTATGTGATATTAATAAGTAATTAGAACCATTTAAATTAATAAATTTTAAATAAGAACAAAAGGTTTCTAATTTTTATTTTTCTTAAAGTCCAAAACATTTTATTGAACTATATGATGATGCTACAAAAAATAAGGTGGAAGAAGAAATAATATTACCAAATTAAACTTAAGAAATTACACAGTATTATCATCATTCATTTGTTCCTAATCAAATTCATTTCTTTCATTATTTGATATCTAAAGGAATATATAATTAAATAGGTGATTTATGTATGGAAGTGATGTAATTTGCATTTTCAAGTCCTATAAAGAAGGAAAAAGTGGAATAATAGAATTGATATTTTATAAAATTATTTTATAAAATAATATTTTAAATTTATCAGAATTATAAAGTTATTTTTCAGAAATTTATACGTATTAATAAATTGAACTGACAAATAATAAAATGATTAGAAATTTAAGGAGTTAACGTGGTAAAAAAGAAAAATTGTTAAAAAAAGATTAAATAATACTATGTAAGGAAGAAACTGATTATAATTTGTATAAATTATAAGAAGATTAGAATGATGATGATAAAAGAATGAAAGTTATCTAATTAGTCAAATTTGAAGGAAAAAAAAGAAATAAATAATAATATAAATGTTAAATAGAAAGGATTTTAAATCATTAAATTAAATGGTATATATTAATTAGATTTGAGGATTTTATTAGATGGAGTCTCAATAATAAATTCTGATGAAATAATTTATGTTGTTGATTTAGAAATATATTAATAAGCATTACGTAGTTTGATAAATGAAGAAAAAGCAATAATAGAAAAAAGTTAAAAAATTTATGATGATAATGAGGAGGAAGAGGAGAAACCAAAGAAAAAATCAAAAAGATATTAAAAATAAAATGAAGAATATATAGCAAATGATATTGAGTCTGACGAAGAATCAAATGATTCATTTTCTTCTGCAGAAGAGGATCCAGTTCCAAAAAAATAAAGATAATCAAGAAAAAAAGAAGAAAAAGATTAAAAAAAAGGAAGATAAAAAAATAAGAAATATAAAGATATATTCAAAAATTTAAAAAGCGTTAGTGGATAATTTGAAGGAACTGAAAATAATTTTATAGATCGTTAAAGCATGAAAACAAACAATAAAGAAGTAATTAGAGCAGCATAAACAGGAAATCGGAAATTAATGGAAAACATATTTTTAACTAAAAATAAATTATCTAATGTTGAAGATAATTGGGGACCAGAATTTGATATAACAGCATTAGAAATATTATTAAAAAGATAAGATAAAGAGTTACTATAATATTATTTATAAAATAAGGATAAAGTAAATATAGGTGGAGAACCTGCTTGTACTTTGAAAGAAATTAATACAGGATATAATAATAAATATGCTTATGGTGTAAAATTAAGAAAAGTTGCTTTAGGAAGAGGAAATAGAGAAGGAAATAATGCTTTTGTATATGATTTAAATGATAATGAGAGATCAGGTTATTATTTTTAAAAATTATTGGAAATTGAAACAAATCCAGAATTATATGAAATAATGATGCTTCATTGTAAAAATGAAGATTATGATTAATTATTGATAGAGAATGTTTCAAAAGCTGTTAGATGTGGAAATTGGAATTCTGCTAAATACTTAATTAATTATTCAATAGTTAATAATTAAGATGGTTATGGATTTAATTATCTTCATAGAGATGCTTTAGGTGATAATTTTAGTACTTATAAACTTGATTAAATAAAGAGAATTTCAATAACAAAAAAAACATCAAATGATTTTTTAATTACTCCTATTCATTGTGCTTGCATTAATCCATCAGAACAATTCTTGAAATATTTTATGTA